CAAAACTATCTAATTACATGGTACATTACTACTACACTAACGGGCCTTTGTTTGGTCATGCAGTACTCGAGCTATGTTACCTTCTTCGCAGCCCTTATGCTCTTCAAATTCTACATCTGCATCACAGTCGACGCACGAAGGAGGGTCAATGAGTAGACAGCGATACTTGTGAGAGGTTGCTTCTCCCAGGATATTCAATCATGTTCACAGTGCGATCAGAAGAGTAGGCTAAAAACTCACGCACATAACGTACAGTTTGACTGTTAGCCCAAACAAGCTCAAACCCCGAGGAAGTGAGACCTTGGATTGTAACGCATTGTGATTACTCGTCCGTGTTGTGTCGGATTGTGAGTCGTTCCAACACCACATGGGCCTGATCTCGGGATGGAACGTGCTACGATCGTGCCTTCCTGCTCATATTGAAATGATAATGGATTACAATCGGCTTCCCTTCCGGCGCGGGATTGTAACCCGGCCAACGTCCGGCCACTTTTTCACGAATTTGCTGATGTATACGTGATCCATCTCAACATCAACTTGTGCTGAATGTAGCTCAGTGCACGGCACCTCAAGAACACATGCAAAGTCAAGATAAAGCAGTCATCGTACCTGTCGAATGCTAATCCCCTCCCGTACGGTCACGTCTACCAACGGTTGTATTACCTTCGCCAAATGATCACAGGCATTCGCGACACCTTGGAGGTTAAATGCATGCTTCTATCACTTCCAATTCTTTGTGACTGATATCTTTGAATTTATCAGGCCACCTCTTCAGAAGCGCATGGTTTATACAGCCAAGGTGACCAAGCGGCGATCCCAACCTATCACGACCGCGGTCATAGAGTCACTCAATCCCCAACTCCAATGTGTGCGTATCAGTTTCTAAGTATAACTTCGATCAGCCCCTCATTTGATATAACAATTCCTCTAGCAGCGCCTACGGGATCTGGATACTTAGGATTTATTGCACCCCAAGGGCCGTCCGTCTATCCGCCACCTCCGCGTGAGTGTGATTGTGATGCTCTCACCACTATATGTGTTCATTAATCATTTGGCATTGCCTGTACAAGCTTCCATGAATGGTTCGTTCCACGCAGAACCTGCACGCAGTATGGCCCAGAATACACATCCTTATTATGCCCAGTCACCCCGTATGTATAACCTCTAAGGGCCCGTTCGGCAGCGCGATTTGGGCGTACTTAGGGTGTGTTTAGGCAGGTAATTTGACGTGTACTCAATCCGACTAAATGCAACGTACTGTAATACAAAACACGCGTCTGTTCGGCGAGCAGCGATATTACGCTGTCCGCGGGTAACCCCGGTGATGTTCAGTGCCACTGTTTCCCTGTAATATATGCTGTTATTTTGTTATGTCTATGGTTTTACATGTAAAGTAGCCTCAAAATACTTTAATGTGATCAGAAATCAATGCAGGATATCCTCAAAAATAGTATAAATGAATACCTTGAGGTCCGGGGCCATATTTTCTCGAAACAGCCAGTGGCCCTGCTGGTGCCACAATGTGACTCGTCACAAGCTTGTCACATTCCGCGTCGTTTGAGGAGGGGGGCGTATTGGTATTGAGGTTCGATCCTTATGCGTACAGTTTTGGTGGCAAATGCGACGCGAGGTCTGATCCTGTGCGTACATGACTGGCCTGGATTTGCCTCTTGGTCCGATCCCTTGAGCTGTGCTTGTGCGTACGGAAAGTTGGCAGGACTGCCTAGGTCTGATCACTATGCGTACAATTTTGTTGTATGTGTTCAGGCTTGGTCGCCAACCTTCACTCTCCAACACTATACGCCACCGCACAGACCATTCTGTGTCAAATTGACGGCGTTTTAAGTGTTCGTCTGGGAGAAGGTCCAATCCCTCGTGAGTACGGAAGGCGCCCTTATTTGGACTACCCGATCCACAAAAGTACAGAAATCCTCCAAAACCTTGAGTACAGAACTACCAGAATTTTGGGTTTTGGGATCGGACTTCGATACCAATACGCCCCCCTCCTGTCGTTTGCTGCCAGCACATCAACGAGCTCGCTTTCTCGCTTCCACCATTCGACTCTCACACGCTCGCTTCCTTTCCCTTGACCATGGCTCGGAAGAAGAAGGCTGAGACTGTGGCCTCGCAGTCTGAGACACCGAAACGGAAGCGCTCTCCGGATTGGCCGGCATCAGCAGAAGCCAATCTCTCCCATTATCTCTTGGGTGAGCTGCGAAAAGGGAGGTCGTCAGATGGCGGGTTTCAGTCTGCACAGTACACTGCCTGTGGTGCAGAAGTTACCAGACTTGGATGGAAGTGCTCTGCAAAGCAGGCAAAAGCCAAGTACAGTGATGTAGGTCTTGTTTCCTGTGCCATGGCTATCCGAAGATGTGCTGAATAACCTTCGGATTGCTATAGCTCAAAACCAGATACAAGATCTTCAAGTTCATTCGCACCAAAGTCTCTGGAATGGGGTGGGATGATGCTCTCAAGAAACCAGTAGCTGAACCCGCTGTCTGGGATAAACTCATCGCAGTATGTCTCTTCTTCTATATCATCTGCGTCGTTCTCCATCACTCTCCGTCATCCTCAACTGTTTCACGACTGTGTATAGAGCAACAAGAAATACAAGCGCTTCCGAAATGCTTCATTTCCACTTTACGACATCTACGCTGAACTAATTGAGGGCTCCACTGCGACTGGTGCTTTTGCACTTTCATCGGAGCTTCTCGATGGGGAGGATGTAAATGAGGAGGACCAGGAGGAGGAAGAGGAAGAGGAGGATGGTAGTGGATCGGGTGAGGATGAGGATGATGAGGAGGATGAAGAGGACATTCCTATTGACCCGGTACGTCCTGCTTGTTTATGCTTTCACCGTTCACCTCTTCTGACTTGATACGTAAAACTGTTCAGGTGCTCCTTGATGCTGATCGTGCTTTCAATGTGCCAGCACCTGTGCCTGATACTACTGGCATGATTGCTCCTACGGCCGCTGCTCCTCCTATTCCTGTTCCCACTGCACTTCCTGCTCCCACTGTTCCTTCCACTCCTCTTTCTAAAACAACATCAGTGTCAGCATCAGGTTCCAAGGCAAAGCGCTCTGCTGACCCCACCACTCCCCATCAACCTCCAAAACGAAAACGCAAGACCATCGCTGACTCATTTGATTCCCTTTCCAACTCTCTCGAGTCGATTATTACAGTTCTTGCATCAGATGCTCCACCTTCTACTCCCACTCCACACTTCAGTGTAACTCCTGCATCTCTACCACCACCATCCACCCTAGCCTCGTCTAGTGCTCCATCTTTCGATCTCTCTTCTCCATCCTCAAAGCAGAAGACAGCAGCCTATAAAGCGGCCGTCAAAGCTATGCGGGATGGAGGGTTGGATCCGTCAGCATCCCAGGTTGCAGACTGCCGTAGACTTTTTAGAGGGACGGTGGAACTCGCTGAGGAGTTTTTGAGCTTTGATCAAACCGATGAACTAGAGAGAGAGGCAGCGCAGGCTTGGTTGATGGATGAGATGGCAGCATCGCCAAGTCGCTGATTAAATTACTTCCCCTCTTCTTCTCCGCTCCTGTAAATAACTGTCCCACATTGCCTTTGCAATATCATCCCGTCTCTCCTCTGCCCGTTTGCTCTCATCCTCTGAAACTCCTGTTACGGGAATTTCTCCAGCACCGACTCGAGCAACAACTCTCCCTTGACCGTCCACAGTATCATCACCCCCTATCTCATCCAATTCCTCCATTGTGCTTGGATCGTGAATACGGATGAAATTGTGAAGGATGCTCAAGGCCAATATCACCTTTGCCTGTGAAGGCATAGACCCTCGATATCCAGACCGAAACATCTCAAATTGCTTCTTGACAATACCAAATATACGTTCGATTGCATTTCGGAGCTGAGCATGCCGTAGGTTGAATAGCTCTTCTTTGTTTTGAGGTCGCAGGCTGAGATCAATATACGGTTAAAATGATATGAAGAGGGGATATTTTAATATATAGATTCATTACCTTTCTTTAGCAGCTAGCCACTCTCGCAAATGATATCGTACGCCACGGTAAGGAACTAAGAGCCAATCGCAAGAAGGAAATCCTGCATCGCCGAGATAGTAGGAGCCTGGAGGAATGTGAAGACCGGCTGCTCGAGCCTTCTCGAACAATAAACTGTCAGAGATACTTCCCTCCCATCCCGCAAGAACGTAGTAGAACTGCATATCAAATGTACATGCACTCAGTACGTTCTGGGATACCTCTCCACTTCTGTCTCTACACGCCGCACGAGCCCATGAAGGTGGATGAGCGGGAATGTGTGTTCCGTCAATTGCTGCCTTCGCGTCCTTGAAGAAAGGATAGAACTTCGGATCGGAGAGAACATCCACAGCGTATCAAGGATGTTCTTGGTGTTCAGAAGCATGTGTTCCTTGCCTTCCGAGCTGAACTCGTCGTCTATGGTGGCCTTCGCCCTTCGCGTGGTATCAGCAAGGGGGTGGCAAGCGTAAAATTCTGTACCGAATCTTACCTTTCACGTTTAAGGCCTCACCCCCCTACCCCCCTCCCCCCCCCTCGAATATTTAAATGATTTTAAAATGATTTATTTAATACTTTTCACACAACATAAAAGATCAAAACGGAGGGTTATTGTGGTATTGACTCATTGCTTTGATGAATGTTGGTGTAACCTAACCTAGGCTAGGGGAGGGGATGACCGACGTCGACCGTAGCTTAACCTAGCCTAAAAGTATTCATTATTATCCTTTTTACACTCAAAACATCTTCTATTCACAATTCTACCAGCACTGTGTACAAAGATAATCATATATGAGCCCCAAGAACCCTCCAAATGGCTGCAGTGGGACCTCCCGTAATGTCCGGACAGTTTGCGTTTAAGGGCCCTCTGGGCCCCCCTCCCCCCCTACATCCGGTTTTTTATTTTATTCCTGCCACCCCCTTGGGTATCAGCATTGACGAGCAAGTGGCGATATTTCTGTATATGGTGGTGACGAACCTGCCAAATCATCAGGTTGCAGAGAGGTTCCAGAGAAGTGGAGATACAATATCACGGTATATTCACTATGTTGCATTTCTAGTTTTTTGTCTTCTCATTCTACTCACACTAGAACTTTTCAACGTATCCTCAATGCCTTGACATCGGAGTCACTCCACTCCCGTTATCTACGCCTTCCTACTGAACACTCGCCCATTTCCAATAAAAACCCCTCAATAACTCCCTAACCCAGTCTGCTCCCCGAAACTTGGAAGTATGATAGGGTCGAGCTCGGAATCCATTGTGGGCCTCTGCCAGTGCGAGTGCAAGAATTGTGACAATACTGGCCGTGAGACCGAGAAGCTGACGACGTCGGTGATGTGGATCAGGAGAAATCCGAAGGCGCTTGAGTAGACGCTCGCGAACAGAGTTAATGGCCATCGAGAGGGGCACTGTCGAAGCGAACGGAATCGTCAAGTGGCAAGGGCGTGACAACGCGCGTCGACATTGCTTATATAATCATCGCTGTAATTGCAGGAGCAATTACGGGACCCTCTATTACCGGAGCGTAATTACATGCGTTGTTTGTACCGACCCGTAAGTACTCCGTCCCAAATCGCGCTGCCGAACGGGCCCTAACGGTTTTGTAGCATTGATAGTGAATAGTCCCTGGGACATAACTTCTATGACACGGGCTCCGGATGGCCCATTGAATGCAGAAAGTATCGCAATGGTGAGCCAGCTGGACAAAATGAATGACCAGCTCGACACAATCTTCCACGTAGGATCACAGATGCATCTGCTCAGAGAGACATAGATGTTTCCGAAAATTCGGGGAGCGTGAACTATGTGCGGCCAACGTGGCCTCTTATTTGAGCAAGAACATGTACGGCAAATACAGAGATACTTACACCAGACAGGAATCATGAGCTCTACTGCAAATAGGATACGCGAGCCAAACAGCACAGCTTCAGCAACCAGATTTGGAGCCCGTGTCTTTCCAATGATGGTCCCTCCAGCGAGACAGCCCAGTCCAATTGCCAACAACCTAGTCTTCAATGAGCGCCATTGCGCCACAAGATCCTCCTTGGTACGATCTGTGACGATATACTGTACTATTTCGACCGTAGGCCAGCGGGGTGTGACCTGTGACAAGGGTGGCACTTAGGCCATGGGTGTAAATAGGCCATCGGCCTCCAAAATTTGTGACCGACTTGCCTTAAAGGGCAGGTAAGTTGCCATTTTGGGCGAAGCCCGGACGAAAAAATGAATAAATAATGCCTCAGAGGGCCTGTGACCTGTGACAAAATGTGTTTAGGCCATGCCATATGCCCGCTGTGACGTGTGACCATGGCCTACGGTCGAAATAGTACAGTAGAATGGTGAGGTTGGATCCTTCGGGGGACGAAATGGGGTTTGGCTGTAGAGGGCTACAGTTAGAGAAATTCCACGATAGGTCAGCGAGTCTCACGACAAGACGCAGGATAAAACAGACATCGTATCGACCACGTACCTGCACCGAACATGTAAATCAGCATCAAGTCAAAGCAAGCCATGCAAATGATTTGAAGCGGCTGCTTTATTACACTACTCTCAACACCTAACTGCATACAGAACAGTATGGGAAGAAGAGTTGCAGCAAGAAAGCAAAAGAGTATTGATACGAGAGCGGAGAGGTAGAAGCGCCATCGAGCCTCCCAGTCCAAGCGCCACTTTGCGTACAGAGCGCGCCGCGTGGCACGATCGTGGGCCACTCCTTTGTTCGGAGCACTCAGCATAGACACTAAAGAAGAGGTGAGATTGAGCGCAAGCGGCGAGCGAAAGAGCGAAGAGGGAACAAGACACGCTGCAATTGTTGACTTCAAGCTTGCGGCCACATCGCGGCCACGTTTCCATTGCCAAGTCCGCTGAACGCTCACAAGCGAGCCCAAACTCCAAATGTGGCAAGCGCGGATCACAGACGGACAGCGGGCCGGCTTCTGCGTTTGCCGACCAAAGGCAGACAGTCTCAGGAAAATCTGGCTCGGACATTCTGAAGACCGGTCTCGGATTATCTTAAGATCGGTCTCAGGAAAATCTTAAGAGTTGTCATCTCAAGAATATCTTAAGAACGTCTCGAGATAATCTTATGACTTGGCAACCAAGAATCCGTCAGACAGTTCGTCTTATGAATTTGCTGGAAACGGCGGCTGGCCGTGTAACCCGTTTCAGCATTTCTCGCCGTGCTCTTGCTCAGTACCATCATCATGGCCAATCTCGCTCGCAGCGCGAAATCCGGGTCCGACTGGTCCTCTTCCGACCTCTCCGCGTATAACATCACTGTCTCCGCTCAGCCAGCTCATGAGTTCTTTGGTCAACAGCCCAACGCTGATCTCCAAAACCTCGATCAACGCTTCGTCTCCGCTTCACTCGAGGACGACCCATCCACGATCTCCCTGATAACACCTTGCGTCTTCTCCAATACTTAGACCTTGCTACCAGGGCTAACGTGGGCCAAGAGTCTGCCATCGACGATCTGGCAAAAGAACTCCTCCGTGTCCTCGGGTACGAAGAACGAGGAACCCTTCTACGCTCACGCTATATCATCCCTCTCGAAATTTGTGGAGATTCCGGTCGCCAAGCCCAGACAGGGGTCTGCTTGGTTCATCCCAGCACCACAATCCTTCTCCTCTTGACAGAAGACAAGACTGCTTTCAGCGGCCGCAATCCCGAGCCACAGATCATCGCCGAAGCCATCGCGGCTTTCCAATACAACAACAACGCTCGAGAATCTGTTAGCCTCCCGCGTATCGACGAGATGGTATTCCCCTGTATCACCATGATCGGGACTCGCCCTACCTTTTACAAGATCCCTGTCACCACCCAACTCAGCTCTGCCGTTGCCGCCGGGATGTATCCAGAGCAGACTACGCAAGTCGTCAAATGCTTGGTCCCCTCCAGACGGGCCAGTGAAGGCATGGAGATTCCAATCTATCGCAGGAACGCCTTGCAGTATCTCGTCGCGTTCAGAGATCTTGCTAGACCGCTCTGGAAGAGGTATTACGTTTAGGTGAGTCTCATTCCGTGCTTTGTATCATCAGTTTCCGGATTAATGGAAGTGTTTGCAGGCGAACGCGGGGTGTGTTCGAGTGTGGGGTGAATCATCTGTGACCCATGGACTGTATGGCCGTGTTGGATATCTGTGGCACGCTTTGCCTCTACGTTCAGTATCGGGCATGATATATTGAGTACAGAAGACAACTTGAAGTACTGAAGGGATAGCAACAACATGGCCAAAACAAGTATCAGAGTAACACAACAGTCAGTTTCAGTGCTACCAGCCTACAACCCATCGGGTCGCATTATACCCCAACCTCAACAACGACACAGTATCCAATACCGCCGTCGCCACCAAAGGCTCAGAGCGAGGTCGCAATCTCCAACTACGAGATATTGGCCAAATATCGCGGCGAACATCTGTCCACCTCTCCCAGGCCTGGGTAGCGGTCACTCGGGCTGCTGGGACCGGATGAAGCATTAGGTCCATCATTGGGACCAAAAACTCGACGTTTGAAAAATGCTACAGGGCTATGAGCTTCGCATACTTGATGGTGCAAAACGTGTGTGGCTTACGTCGTGGAACATGCATCGGAAAACGTTGCCGATGGAGAAGATGTCGACCATGAATGGATCGTAAGGAATAGTGTCAGAAAGTTCGGGGACTTCCTGATCTCGACCGGCCCTTCCAACTACTAGTCGGGGGGCATCCGGAGGAATATAAGAAGATATTCCATAGTCTACATAGTAGTACTTCACACGACCAGCAGCTGTTCGAGTCAGCCGCGGAGCGACGGTGACGGCGTCTGGGAGGATACGTTCACGTATCGGATGATGACCTTGTGGGAAAAGGGGTGAAGAGTCCATCATGAGGTTCTTCCGTGAGCAGTCACTAGAAAACGCTCAACACAAAACGGAAAAAGAAGAGTAAAACATGTGCCCACCGGTGAGCCACGCCTTGCTCGTGCATGAAGACAAGACCCTGGACGATATAGCTCACCGTGAGCATCTCCACAGGTTAGAAAAGAACAGGTGCGTACCTCGAGCAACTGCTCACAGAAATCAACAACTTCCCCAACCGTTTCAAAAGGATGCACGTCTGCGATCGACAAGAAGGGCATGACCATATAAGATATGGTTGGATCCTCGGAGTCCTCAAACAGGTCGAGGACGGGAACGCTGTGGTTGCGTGGGTCTTGGCGAAGCGATTCTTGGTCTAAAACACAGCGATGCTGGACTCCTGGTCACCTGTCTTGACTCTCTTGATATAGACGAGTTTTCCGTCAGATATACGGGTGGCATCGATGAGATGAACACGGCTCTGTTGCGGGCGAACATGGTCACTCAAGACAAAGTTCATGCGCGTCTAGGGCGATCAAAGTGAAAAGCAGCGTACCGGAGATATCACAGAGTCCTCACACTGTTCGAAACCCTTTCTGGGCGAAATCCAAGAAGGTGACCAGCCAGGCCTTAGCCTTGGACGAAGCATGTAGCCGCGAGATTGCAAGAAAAGCTGACGGTCCCGCCACGCAATCTCGATATCCGAGAGAGTGCCCATTACCGCATCGATTTCGGCCAAGTCGAGCGAGCCATCATCGTCGTTCGACATTACTGGGAAGGGGGGAGGTGTATCTGCGAAGTTGATGCATGATAACGAAGTTGTAGTATAAGTAAATGAAGTTCGTCCTTGAGGCCTTGAGGCTCGTGCTCGTGCAGCGCTTGGAGACGTGGGAATTGATAATGCGTGAGAAATTAGTGTTGCATGTTATTATGTCGCTAAACGTTCTGTCGATGAATCCGTATGTTCCGAGAGGTTCTTTCCCATAAGTACATGTTCCAGCCGTGATAATCATCGCCTGATCCTCGACCACTCACCTTCTGATTGCCTTCTCAATTCCGTTCGTACGAGTCAATATTTTATGAACTTCCTTTTACGAAAGGCTCTCTGGGCTACAGGAACGAACATTAGAAAGCACGAAAGCACAATGAAGTCAGTCCGAACAGCAAACCAATCACCTTCGAAATCACCACCCCACAGCCCACCTCCCCACTCCCCACTCCCCACCCCACCCTCCCAAGCGCCACCACATCCAACACCACCGTCTCCGCCACCATCTCCTTCCTCTTCCTCACCCTCCAACTCTTATGTGCCATCGATATCCCACCTCTCACAGCTATCCACTTCTCCCAGGCTTGGGTGACTGTGGGGCGAGCGGCGTGGTCGGGGGATAACATGGGGTCTATTAGGGGCTTTAGGAAGGAGAGGTTCGAGAAGAGCTGGTACGATGGTGATGAGTGAGCGAAGTGCGTAGAGAGAATGCGAGGCAAGTGGCATACATCGTACAGCTCTCGTCGAAACACATTCCCAAGCGCGAAAATATCAACCTTGAACGGATCGTACGGGATCGTCTCGGAGAGTTCGGGGACTTCTTGATCCCGAACCTCATCCCCAAGAGCCAACCTGGGTGCATCAGGCGGAAAATACGACGACATCCCAAAATCGACGAAATAATACTTCACGCCTCCAGCGGCGGTACGAGAGAGACGGGGGGCTACGGTCACAAAATCGGGGAGGAAGCTTTCGAAGATGGGATGATGGCCTTGGGGGAATATTGCGGAGGAATCGAACATGAGGTTTTTCATTGCGCAATCGCTGCTGGATAGTCAGTCTATGTGTATATTAGCACTCAATCGACGTACCGGTGGGCGACGCCATGATCGTGCATGAACACCAGACCCTACATATAATGATATCGCATCCATGTTTGATTGGGCAAAGATAGAATGTTCCTACCTCAAGCACCTGGTCACAAAAATCGACTACTTCTCCTACGGTGTTGAAGGGAGGTTGGTCCGCAAGAGATAAGAATGGCATCACCATATACAAAATGTCAGGGTTCTCGGAATCTTGAAACAGGTCCAAGATGGGTACACTGTGGTTATGTGGATCCTGACGAAACAGGTCTTGCGAGAGATATGTCGCGATGCGGACTTCGCTGTCGTCTGTGGTGACTCGCTTGATGTAGACCATTTCTCCGTCCCGTAGACGAGTGGCGTCTACCAGGTGGTTGCGGAACTGATAAGTGTTGCTAAGTAGATGTCGGTACCAAGCTCACTGCAACTACACGCACAGGAAGAGGTACTGCATCCTCACTCTCCAAAATACTCTTTCTAGGTGAGATCCAAGAAGGCCTCCAATCGGGTCGTAATCTCGGACGAAGCATGTACCCGCGCGACTGTAGGAACAGTTGACGATCGCGCCAGGCGATTTCGCGCTCGGAGAGTTCGCCAAAGAGCGCATCGTCTTGTTCTGTGGATAATACTCTGTGCATCAATTAAGTGAGGCGGAGGCAGAGGGAAGAGATGAGGGTAAGTTATGTGGACGTCGAGGAAGAAGATGGGTGAGAAAGCGAGAAACAAGGAAACAAAAGAAGAAAGTGCATCCGGGCAGGTGCCGACAGCTGTGGCACTGAGCCGATAACCGGGCCAGCGCACAGCCAAGTGGCGGGACACCCTCCGAATCTCAGGCTGGCAGTTGGCTGGCAGTGACACCGACACTCTCGGATTTTCACAGTATCTCCAAAGAGACGTATGTAGGATCTAAGAAATTACAGCGGTCGAGTCTCATCAGACCCAATCAGTCCATGCGGTCGACGATACCACGAGCTCTTCACGATTCGTTGAGAGGACAGCGAGCACTAGAAGGACAAGGAAAAACGGTGTATCGAACAATCGCGATCGTTACTATCCATACAAGCACTGACCGGTGACCCCACCTCAGTAAAAACCACGCACAGGTATCCTCTTCTCGATTTAGCTGCGATACGTTTAGAGTAGAGGAATGACTCTGAATCCGAGTTGATTCGCCCAATTCGACCTAACAGATCAAGCCAGTATTGTCCTCAGGCTCTGCATCCCGATGGAGGCCCTCCCCCAAGCTGATACCTATCGAATAGTGGAGCCATTCACAACGACCACCTCGACTGGCATCGTCGTCCAGACTAAAGGCAGACCACCAGTTTTCAACTCTGCATCTCCCATGAATGAGAGAATCGTTCACCTCTCACCAAAGTCACAGCCGGAGTGTACTTACGTCCATACAACACGATAATCCTTTCCCTTTCGTTATTCCAAAAAGAACCCCTTCCGTTACGTCTATATTGACGCACTCCACGTACGAACAGCGAGAACACCCGCGTCTCCAAAGGCCTGCATAAACACCAGCAGAGTAAAGAACACCAGACCGGTGGTGCGATGTCTCGCAGCTGGGCGCTCATTCACCTCAAGTCTGAATCATCAATGATGAACGAAAGGCTCTAAGTCCTCGTGGGAGAATATGATGAGGCTCGGGAAATACATATGTACATTCCTCACTAGTATATACACTCCCAAAACAGTCCGCTCTGAAGAAGAGGGGAGGCTCGAACGAGGAAGTCATGATCACGAAGAAACGAACAAAAAATAGGCCCCCTTACTCACTGACACTACTGACCTCAGGCTCGGGTCCGAAGAAACAGGTACGACAGTACGAGCCAGAAACTTCGAGAGATCAAAGCAAGAGGCACTTCGTACATATGTAACAAGCAAGTTAATTATAACGAGGTCCTGAGACGTCTCCAAAGGCCTCGAATGATTCGAAGATGCGACGTGACACCATAGACGGGGACGGGGCGATTCGGATTGAGATCTGGGAAAGGATTGGGCGTAGCGAGGTTCGGGAGCGAAGTAAAGCTCGAATAAGTACCTCGTTTATGTACAGTACATAGGGAGCGAGTGATTGTGGACACACTCGACTTGATCACGCACGGTCCGAGTAAGGCCTGCCTTCCCTCGATGAAACAAAACACGAAGGCGGCCAGCGGGGGCGCGAAAGCAGAAGCGTCCAAACCATGCTGTGTCGCTTCTGTTGTCCCTTCGAGAACTCCATCCGTCCACTGAGCTTCGCCATTCCTCGGGCGGAGGCCTCCGCACTCTGCATACTGTACTATTTCGACCCCAAGTTCACGGCCTGTGACCTGTGACGCCGTGAACTTGGCAAAATCGTAGTTCATAGCGGCCGAAGGCCGCGCCCCGCTGTGACTTTGAGTTCACAAGGGGCCGGAAATCGCCGAAAATGCCCATATATGTCGCGCCGGAGGCGCGAGCCGAAAAATATTGATTTTCTAAGGGTTTTTCCTTGGTTCACAGCGGCCTGTGACGTGTGACCGTCGGCCATATGGAGTTCACCGAGGGGGTCCCTGTGACGTGTGACTGAACTTGGGGTCGAAATAGTACAGTACCTCCAGTCGATTTCTGTACGCATATGCGGTTCTCGAACGCATGCCTCCACTACCTCGCACATATGTCCCGACTGCCGATCTGAGTGGTAATGATATGCCGCGTCAGATGTTACAGTCTTCTACGAGGGCTAGGAGGAGGACTGAAGTCTCTGAACTTTGAGACCCGTAGACGTCCAGGGTATGCAGAATATCTGCATTCTGCACCGAGTTCGAGAGCATCGTGGTCGAAGTCACCTTTGGACGTGACTATAGTAGATGGATGTCCCGCTGGTATCTGGCCGTGGTACATTATCAGTACTAGTGTGGTCCAGTGGATCCTTCCTTGCCACGACGAAAATGAAACCACATGGATCTCCTGAGGATACGAATGCAGGGCATACTTACGGACTCGGAGGCGAAAGCACCGAGCTACATCCTGATGACACTCCTTCTAACCTTTTCCCTGAAGGACAAGAAAAGGACCGAAGCTCCTGATCTGCAGGACGAGTCGGAGCAGATGGCGAAAAAGGGTGTGGTGAGAGCCCGCAAAGCACGACATCGCATCGCGAACAAGCATCCTGCGCTCGGGTCGTCGTCCGAGTCCGAAGAGAGAGAGCGCGGTCGAAACGAGTTGCGAGTGGTCAGGAAGATCTCTTGGCGTCATCATGGAAGCGAGGACTATCTGATATGCCGAGTGCGCGGCGCGGACGCGAGATCGGGGGTTGCGATTATCAGATACCGCCGAAGACCACATCAGATCGGCGAGCGGATCTGTATGCGTTCTTCCTGAACTTCATCCGGACGAGGATGCAAGACCGGTGGACCAGTCGCTGGTTGGGGCCACAACGCCGTTGGACCATCCAACGATCTGTGTTCATGCGGTCCACAGCAGCTGTGCCTTGCCCATAGTACTAGCGCAAGGAAAATGTATGACCTTCGAAAAGCCGTGCTCTTTTTCCGCTGGTGCAAGTCCTGCTTCGTCCTTGAGTAGCTTCCGTACTGCTTGCTCGTCTTCACGCAATGGCAAAGGCAGAGTCGTCTGAGCTGACCGGCACCATCGAGCAGCGCTTTCATCGCGCCTGGTATGCCGGCGTGCCCTTCATCCCCACCAAACCCACTCCCCCTCCCTCCTCGCCCCTCCCCTCTCCAGAACAGACGGCATCATGGCTCAGCGTACTCGCCTTCTCCTGGCTCTACCCCGTCATGCGAGCGGGCTACACCCGTCCGCTCGCAGACTCTGATCTCTGGCAACAACCCGACGAACGTTCTGCTCGAATCTATGGCCAACGCATCCTCGATGCCTTCGAGAAGAGGCGAGCCGTTCCAGCGCGTGCTCCCCTTCTAAAGCGCGTAAAATGGACTCTGAGCCTGAAAGGCCCGAAGTACGTCCGTCGGATGGAATCAGACTGGAAAGCGTCCTACAAACCGTCCCTCGTCCTCGCCCTCAACGACACCGTCTTCTGGTGGCTCTGGTCCGGCGGTATCCTCCGTCTCTTCGCCGACGCAGGCCAGATCTGTTCGCCCCTCCTCGTCCGCGCCATCATCACCTTTGCCCAGGAATCGCACGACGCAATGTCCAGTGGCACCACGCCACCCAGTATCGGAAAGGGCGTGGGGCTGGTGTTTGGCTTGTTGGCGCTGCAGTGGGCCGTGCTCTTCGCGAGCTCGCATGCGTTTTATAGGATGTTTACGACTGGGGTGATTTTGAGGGCGGGATTGATACAGGTTCTGTTTGGGAGGGCTCTGAGACTGAGTAATCGCGGCATGGCTCGAATCGGTACCTTCCTTTCCTTCCCTTCACCTTTCCTTGCCCTCCAAATGTGTACTAACGACCTGCTACAGGCTCCTCCGCCCGCCTAACCACCCTCCTCTCCGCCGACATCTCCCGCATCGACTTTTCCTGCGGCTACTCCCACATGGCATGGACCGCCCCCGTGCAAATCATCCTCTGTCTCATCATCCTCTGCGTCAATTTGGGCTGGGCCGCTCTGCCCGGTTTCGCGCTCTTTCTGGCGGGAGGCCCGATGCAGGGATGGTTAACGGGGAAGTTATTCGCTTTGAGGTTCGTTTCTTCGCGGACTTTTGATCTGGGGTATGTACGTGGATATATGCTAATTGGTGTTGTATCGATACAGGAAGAAAAGCATGGTCTGGACGGACAAGCGTATCAAGCTGCTCACCGAGCTCCTCGGGAACATGCGTCTCATCAAGGTCTTTGCTTGGGAGGTTCGTGTTCCGCGTCCTACTTTTCCCCTTTTCGTTGTGTGCCGTCCTACTTTTTTCTTTTTCCTCAATTATATGTCGTCGATTTATCGATGCATGTACGGTTCTCCGTCTTTCATATTTTCTTCACGTTCGACACTCGTGCGGACGCTTTGAAGGTCTTCGTCGCTCGAACCTTCTTCGCGTTATCCGAAATACATCCGTTCGGAATCGCCACATATCTATTTTTAGATATGCACGCCACACGCACTTTATTCTCATCCGCCACACACCCAAATCTCTTCTTGCTCCTAACATTTACTCCCGTCTAGTTCTCTATCATCATATCGATTCGAGCTCTTATATGCATAGCGAGTGACCCAGAATGCTGACGTCTCATCGTATTTATTTCCAACTCTAGCTCCCCTTCCTCACCCGTGTAGCAGAGTACCGACACACAGAGATGGAGTACGTCCGTCCCTCTTCCGATCCAACACTTTCCATTATATCCTCACCGATCCCCTCCCTCTCTGACCTTCTCCTCCTTCCCTCTCTAACCCTCCCTCTTCCCCCCTATCCCCTCTCCCCTCCTCGCTCCCACCCCCCACCCACAGTTTCCTCCGCCGCCGCCTAACCCTCCGCGCCCTCAACAACGCCCTCGCCTTCTCCCTCCCCACCATCGCCTCCGTCGTCTCCTTCGTAGTCTACGCCGCGGCCGGTAATGGGTTAGACGCAGCTGTTATCTTTAGTAGTTTGAGTTTGTTTAATTTGTTGAGGACGCCGCTTACTTTTTTACGTGAGTTCGTACCCTCCCATTTTTGCCGGCCGTTTTGAAAAAGGTTCCTCGGGGTGGGGTTGGGTAGAGAGTAGAGGATGAAACGATCGCGATACGATTACTGACCAGGATTTATGTTTACTGTTTACCATTTACGATAGCCGTCGCCCTAAACTCCCTCGCAGACGCGAAGAACGGAACGGCACGCATTCGCGAAGTCCTCCTCGCCGACGTCCTTCCCTCTCCTTCATCTCCTTCATCCCCCTCTCCCACCGCGTCCTCTCCCTCCTCTCCCTCCGACACCCACGCCCCTAGCACCCCCACCCCCTCCTCTCCCCCCTCCTCATCCTCCTCCTCAGTCCCAATCTCCCCCTCCCAGCCCTACGCAATCTCCATCCACTCCTGCCGCTGGGTCTGGGAAGACGTCAAGCCCGTCTTCGTTCCCGTGATCAAGAGCCCCTCTCTCGTCGCGCTCGTTAAACTTGCGTTTGGGAAGTTTGGGGCGGGGGTTAGGGGGTTCGGGGAGGGGTTGAGGGGGGCGGGGGTTAGAGGGGGGAGGGGGGATGGGGATGAAGACGATAAGGATGCGGGGGCGGACAAAGAGAAGGGTGAGGGTGAGAGTGGTACGCCCACGCCTAGGACCCCGTCGATCGTGAAAGCCCCCCTTACACCTTCCTCCCTCGAAAGCTCCAACGGAAACGAGGAAAAGGAGGGGGAGAAGGAAGAGACGTTCCCGGTCGTATTCGAGCTGGGCGACGTGACGCTGCAGATCCCGAGGGGTGAATTATGGGCTATCGTTGGGCCTGTGGGGAGTGGGAAGTCGAGTTTGTTGCAGGGGATGATTGGGGGTGGGTTCCTTCCTTCCTTCCTTCGGTTCTCCTATATCCTACGCTATGCTTCATCCGTTCTTCCTACTGAAACGAAAACACCCCTAGAAATGCGTAAATCCCGCGGCACGGTCTCTTTCTCCGGTCCTATCGCCTACTGTCCCCAAGTCGCCTGGATCCAGTCCTGCTCGATCCGGGAGAACATCCTCTTCGGACAGACGTGGGACGAGGAGCGGTATTGGAGGGTCGTGCGCGAGGCGGAGTTGGAGGGTGATTTTGGGATGTTCGCGTGAGTGTCTCTGTTCCTCATCACATCTCTCTATTCAGAGGGTGGAAACGTTGCTGATTTTCCTACCTTTCCTCCGTGGTGTGGTGCACGTGTGGCGTATACATGTACAGCGACCGCGACCTGACCCAAGTCGGCGAAAAAGGCATCTCCCTGTCCGGCGGTCAAAAGCAGCGAATAAGCATCGCGCGCGCGATGTATTACAACGCGCCCATCACGATTCTCGACGATTCGCTTTCTGCGTTGGACGCGCATGTGGGGCATAAAGTGTTTAGGAACGTGATTGGGCCGGGGGGGTCGTTGCATAGACGTAGTGCTGTGGCTGCTGGTGTTGGTGGAGTGAAGGGAGAGGGAGAGGGGAGAGAGAAGGGAGAGGGGAGAGAGAAAGGAGAGGGGGAAGAGGAGTTGATGGGGACGAGGGTGCTCGTTACGCATGCGGAGTGGGTCCTGGGCGAGTGTGATGTTGTTGTGAGGGTTGAGAGCGGGAAGGTTGTGAGTATCAAGCAGGGGAGTGAGTTTAAGGATGAACATGCTATGGAGCCAGAGGCGGAGAAGGAGGTGAAGGAGGAGGAGGAAGCGGAGGAGGAGGTTGAGGCTGTGGAGGGGGCGACGGGGCTGGTTGGACCCATTGTTGAGGACGGGAAGAAGACGAAGGGCGCTGCGTTGATGCAAGCGGAAGAGAGGCAGACCGGCTCGATCTCTGGAAAGAGTGTGTTTCTCTTCTTTCACCCTTCTCGTCGTAACAGAATGCTGATGTGCTGCCTCGAACCCAGCCTACAAAGAATTCTTCACCGCCGCCCGCCTTGTGATCATCGCCCCACTCTTCTCATTCGCCGTCCTCATCTTCCAAGGCTCCTCCATCCTCTCTCCTTACTGGCTAGTCTGGTGGGAAGACGACCAATTCGGGCTCCACCAAGGCATCTACATGGCCATCTACGCCATCCTCGGTCTCTGCCAAGCAACCGGCCTCTTCCTCATGGGCCTCGTCTTCGCCCTCTTCACGTACAACGCCTCGCGCACTTTGCACCAGAACGCGCTCACGCGCGTCATGCACGCTCCCACGTCCTTCTTCGATACCACTCCCCTCGGTCGCATCATGAACCGGTTCAGCAAAGATGTGGACGTGATAGATAACCAGATCGGTGATGCGATGAGGATGTTCATGGGCACGCTGGTGCAGGTTGTGGGCAGTATTGTGTTGGTGTCGATTATTTTGCCGTGGTTCTTGATTTGTATTGCGGTGATTTTGGTGATGTATCATTGGTTGGCGTTGTTCTATAGGGCGAGTTCGAGAGATTTCAAGGTGTGTGCTTCCCATTCTAGGAAGGACAACGAGAAGATGCTGACGAGTTGATGGGAATGTTGTAGCGGTTGGACGCAGTGCTCAGGTCGACTCTATATGCGCATTTCTCGGAAAGTATGAGCGGTCTTGCGACGGTATGTCTCTTCTATAATGTGCATAGAGCATATACTGACTTCCATTCAGATTCGTGCATATGGCGAGAGCGATCGTTTCCGCGACGAGAACATCAGCCGGATCGACAACGAGAACAGGTCAGCCGTCCTCCTTTCTCCCTTGATGTCCTCTTTTTCACGAGACTGACGATCTGCGTAGAGCATACTGGCTTTCAGTGACGAACCAGCGATGGTTGACCGTCCGGCTCGACTTCCTAGGTTCCCTATCCATTTTTTCAGTCGCTATGCTCGTCGTAGGCTTGAGGTTCAGCGTCTCCCCTTCAGAGACCGGTGTCGTTCTTTCGTATATGTTGACTGTCCAGCAGGTAAGTACGACGCCACACTGTCTCTCCTTCTCTTCAAGCAGCAGATTTGCTGATGAGCCCCAATGCGACAGGCCTTCGGCTGGATGGTCCGTCAATCCGCCGAAGTCGAAAACAGCATGAACGGCGTCGAACGTATCCTCCACTACGCGAACCACATCGAACAAGAAGCGCCACACGAGATCCCCGACGCGAAACCGCCTGCTTCCTGGCCCGCACAGGGTGAAGTGCAGATGAAAGATGTGGTGCTGAGTTATAGGCCAGGATTGCCGCCCGTGTTGAAGGGTGTTAGTGTGGATGTGAAGGGTGGAGAGCATGTGGGTATTGTGGGGAGGACGGGGGCGGGGAAGACGACGAGTGAGTACTCTTTTGTTGAATAACGTACGTTGTTGGGGATAGGATACTGACCCTGAGGTGGCCGTTGCAGTTACTATGGCGCTATATAGGACGGTGGAACTGCTTTCAGGGTTGATCAAAATCGACGGAGTGGACATTTCGAAGATCGGTCTGAGGGATCTACGCAGTGCCCTTGCGAGTGAGTTTACGCCCGCCTCTTCCTTGTGTTTTCTTTGTATTCTGATATAGTCTCTGTTTCGCCTAGTCATCCCACAGGACCCTCTGCTTTTCCAAGGTATGCTTGTCGTCGCTTTCGTCGAGGTTAACAGGCCTAACCGTCTTCACAGGCACTCTCCGTACCAACCTCGACCCCTTCGGGTCCTACGACGATGCCACGCTCTGGAGCGCCCTCAAACGATCATGTCTTGATCTCGAGATACCCGAGTCCGAGGCTGTCACTCCTACTGGTTCGAGTGATGAAAAGTCCGGGAGCCAGAGGAGGTTGACGCTGGACTCGGAAATCGAGGCGGGCGGGGCGAATCTTTCGGTTGGACAGGTAAGCCGCTTCGACAGAGAGACGAGTTTGAGGTATTGATAGGTTCTGGTGTCGACAGCGTTCGTTGGTGAGCTTCGCCCGTGCAATGGTCAAAAACTCAAAGGTTATCATCCTCGACGAGGCCACAGGTGCGTCACACATCATCTGCACATCCTTCTCCTTTCCCCAATTCATAACTCACATCACATCTTCCCTCTCAGCCTCAATCGATTACCACACCGACAACATCATCCAAAAGACCATTCAGACCGAATTCGCCGACCGAACGCTCCTCTGCATCGCGCACCGTCTGCGCACCATCATCGGCTACGACCGTATCCTCGTCATGGATGCGGGCCAAGTCGCTGAATACGATACGCCGGAAAGGCTGTTCAGCCAGGAAGGGGGCATATTTAGGGGGATGTGCGAGAGGAGTGGGATTGGGATGGAGGATATTGTTAGAGCGAGGGAGGGGCATGGGATCGATGAAGTTGACCGTAAGGATTGAGAGGGGAATGTGAGGGTGAAATGTTTAGACCACTTTACAGTATAGTCAATAGATCATGACAATTAATGTTATTCACGACGTGCAATGAGAGCTCACAGCACCACAGTACCCATCTGGCACCGCTGGTCAGTTTGGCTGTATGCGGTCCCGAACACTCTGTCTCTAAGCCTGTCGTGGTGTGGTTCATGTATGGAAATTTACTTCTCTTTCGTTACGACAGAAGGAGAGGTTTTGTGTGTGCGATATATCTTCGAAGGGGTCGTCTTCTGCGTGTAGCATCATGCTTAAACGACTCAGCTTCATCTTAGATCAGTCAACGATCGAAACTTTTATGAATAAAAACTAAATGTTAACCCATTCTACCCGCCAGTTCGGAGTGCTAAGTATACACTAGGACTCTATACGCCGATAAATCCAATCATAAGGGTCCTCAGACTGTAGAAGTTGCGATTTGCCATCGTCATCCCGCCATGTGCAAGCAGCCCGGTCCCATACCTCTGGTTCCCCATAATGCTCCAAGATAGACGCAGCAGTCATTCCAGCGCTCCTCAGAGGCTTCTTCAAGACCGTCAGCAGCCCGTTGTAGTCGTTGCTCTCATGATTCTCCGGCTCCGTGCTGACGCTCGCCCTCGCAAAGTCAAGCAGTACGGTATGCGGAGTTGGCGAGGAGAGCGCCAGAACCTGGCCGTCGTGCCAATCATGTTGAGATACATCGGCATACTGCAGGACCCGCAAGGAATGCCGAGCTGCCTGAACCTGGTAAGACAGAGCGTCAACTGACGAACGGGGAGAATATTTGCGAACTAACGAAAGGGACATACCAGTGCACACCTATCAGTATCCTTCATCGTAGGGATGGCCTTTGAGACAGTGACTCCCGGGATATATTCTAATAGAACGCCGTATACCCAGTGTCCATCGGGCAGCACGAACTACGACAAGGGAACAGTGTAAATTAGCCTAGCCGGTTACCTGAGCGTAACTGACACCTACTCTGTGTGCTCCGTAATACCATGGAACGGTTGCACCCTGGGCGAAAGCAAGCTGTTGGTATATCGCGTGTTCGTGGCGGACCAGGTCTTCACTCGTGCGCCAGGAGATCCACGTTGTCTGATCAGGTCCAACATCGTGCTCGTCGGGATCGTCGGGGGCATGTGTTGGCAATAGACGGTCATCGAAGAGCTTGAGGCAGAGGGGAGGTATGTTGGGGGGAACGGGTTGGTCATCAACGGCTGTGATCTCGCATCGGTATACGGGATTACGTTCCCCGCCGAGCCGCTCGAGGAGGGTGATGCGAAATTGGGTAGATTCCGAAAGACGAGACTGTGTATCTTCGTCGAGAGGCGGAGGGCGCCCGATAACTCGCAGGTGCTCCATGGTAGAGGTAGGAATGGATTCTAGGTCAACAGGCCAGTAAGGGCGAAGAGTGGCGTTGTATCGGGAGAACCCTCCGGTTGAAGCGGTTACGCTATCCCCAGGTCGCAGTATATTTATCTTGTCGATATTGTCCGTGATGTAAGTTTTCCAGCGTAAGAACTGGAGAGCCCGAGGGGGAGAACTCTTCAGCGTATACAGATCAAAGTCCGACTGGCGATCATGCGTCGCGAAAACCGCAGTGTCCGTCAGCAATGGTTTGCTTGGATCTGGCAAGCAGCCTAGGACCTCAGGCGGATCGAAGATCTTTGTAGACCAAGGGTGTGCAAAATATGAGTCGTAATAGGTTCCTGCTGTGAGAGCTGCACTTATGTATGCAGTGATAACCACTTGAATGACGACAAGGTCCGGGTCGACGGATAAGCGTTCGAAGATGACCGTGCGGGGGCCCGACTTGAGGTCCTGTTTGAACACGAAGAGAGATTTGAGATCGCTACATATGACCTTTGCTGCGGGGTCCGATTTCCATGCTTCGGTCAGGTATCTCGACAAAAGAGGTGAGCGAGTAACCTCGCCAATTGCGTCTCCAAAGCCATCTGCCTAATGAAGATTACATGAAACCAATACAGAGGAGCAAAAACATCGCACGTACTACAAAGAGCACTATCGGGAAGCTAGCGGGGAATGGGAGAACATTCGTGATCGTGATGATCGAGACACCTGGATGTATACAATAAATCCCTGACCCACCAGCAACAAGAGTGAACGTACCATCTTCGGGATTACGGGATATCTGCTGTAGAGGCTCTTTAATAAAATAAGCGCGTAGTTGTGAGAGAAGATCCAGACAGGGCATAACAAGGGTATTTGTAAGGTATGCGTGTAGTCGCTCCGTCTGGTGTCCAGTGTACTCTGTGTGCGCAGTCGGCCAACCAACCTTGAAGTGATGGTGTTGTCTGAGCCTCAAAGAGAGCGCGGACAGAGACTGTTTCAATGTAGCTTCAGAGCCTGTCGGTGACCGGAAGGTGTAGGAAACATGTGATGCAGAGTTCTGATGTTGGGTGGAGTGTTGGCTAGACTGCGACGAGATGGGGGGCGGAGGCGGAGGAGTAAGAAGCGCTCGGTGAGGGGCACCAAGAATGAGTGCTCCTCGGGTACGGCAGGCCATAAGGGAGCACGTTACTGATCCAGGAGACAGACGGAGAGTCGGTATAGTCAGCATCGTTGTCCCCTTGCTTCAGTCTTGAACTTCAAGGTCTTTCGCACCCTCAACGACTGCGGTCCCATAAGCAAATAGATGTAAACAGTGCAGAGTGGCGTTGGCCACCCACTAAGTTCCCACAGGTTCCCACTCCGACCTTTACTCTCTTATCGATATCCTCCATCTTCGCTCGCCACCTCAGTTTTGCCGCCGTCTCATTTTTGTCTCAAGTTCCTACAACGGTCCGGATCCGAGTGACTGAGTCAGTCAGTCAGTGAGTCGTCCCGTATTGTTTTGGCTCAGCCTGTAGTACTGTACTTTTTCGCGCACAAGTTCACACCACCGCCCCTCGGCCGTTGCCGAGATGACATAATCCGTTCGTGTCCCGGTTCGCAAGCAGACCGGGACAAGGGACAATGTTCGTGAACATCGACACTTTTCCAGGAATATGACCTTTCACAACCGCTCAGCAGCCATTTATCCTCTGCATTTGGGTCAAATATTTCACCCAGTGGCAAAATCTAGCCCAAAGTGTGTCTTGGGGGCCTTTCTGAGGTCACTTTAGGAGCCTAGAATATATTTGCATTTTTGTCAAATTTGCACCAAATTTTGGTTTGTCCCATTTACAAGTTCAGTGCAAGTCAATGGGGTGGGACTGTCCCGCGGCACGAGTTCGTTCGCGGCCCCCATGGGACACGGGACACGAACTTGTGCGCGAAAAACTACAGTATGTACAGACTCAAGACCCCATTAGGATATCACTCCAACTGTCATTCTCAAAGTCTCTTCACTTTCGACCTTCCGGATCCTTCAACACAAGTTGTGCAACTACAGGCTTGTTCAAAAATTCTGTTGGTCCGAGTCAGTCTCACCATTTCCCACGTCTGCAGGCGAGCCTCTGCAAACAGCTGCAAACCGTCGCGGAACCTGAAATGGTCGATTTTCAATCGTGACCTGCTACTAGTAAGTATTTGAGATACTTACTGATCCATTGAACTCCTCTTGAAATTTCGACGATGAGCGTTTCATTATACTATTAGTGTCCCCTCGTTCGGACAAACAGTCGTTCGGTCAGTGCGAAAAACACACCCAATTCCCTATTCTTTCTCCCCGTTCAAGCTCTTATAAATCATGTTAAATCAACACTAGACCATCTGCGAAGTGATTTGAGTACAATAATGGCAGTGGGAGATCGAAGGGGGGCGATTTCGGACACTTTGGCGGGATCGGCTGTCCGATCGACGACCTTTCTCTCAGGCAATCCACAACAAAATTGCATGAGCATGTAGCTACACTGGTAGTGGGCATTGCGTGTGCAAAGTTTCATGGCAGGAGACCTTATACTGCATGGACTAGATTTTTTGCAGTCCAGATTGTCCGAACGAAGGGCCAGTGATAGTAGCTTGAGGGCCTAGTAGTCATCCACGGGAAAGTTGCCGCTCCCTGGTGAGTCTAGCCCTATACCTCAGATTGAGCTCTCGCCCTTCAACCCCAGCGATTGTGCACGGAGTAACGTCATGGTGTAATTTCTCCCATGATGCGCGTGCTTCATAAAGAATCGCACTAACTACATGAGGAGAAATGGCTCGAGAAGTATTATCGATTCATGGATTGGAATACTTATCAGGATAGAGGCGGTCTGCGTATCTCGTAACAGGTGAAGCAGACACAACTAATTTGTCCTAGTGAACAATCACATTTCTGCTTCGATTCAACACTTCAAGTGAAACGCTGCCGAGGAGATAAAATAGGAGCTCGTATGCATCTAAAACTCAAACCCACTGGTGATGTAACGTCTCCTTCGAGAAGAAAGACAATTCCAATTGTCTTTCCTCTCTCGGCCGCAATATATGACCACTGTCGAGGGACCATTGTCAGGCCTGATGCAGTATCACACTGTTCCGCTTCGAATAGCCCACGACTTGTTCAGTGGCCTAGCCATGCAGCTGCTGTCAACGGTCATATGCCAGAGTACACAGTTACAGGATTACTCCTGACATGATATTTGAGTCTGCTTCACGGAGAACAACGAATCAGAAGAGAAGGGGCGGCCTTCAAGGTACAAGATGATACATCCTTGTCCGAAAACAAGGATCCAGGGCCGCTGTAGGCTTAAGTTTCAACTCTACAACTGCATGCCTCACCTCCTGACTCGTGAGACGTGCTGTAGCATTGCTACGCAGCAATCCCACCTCATGGGACATTTGACTATAACGAACAATTGGCGGTCTGCACCCTCTAGGAGCCTCATTCGTCGTTCAATTGCATCGAATCCCCTGCAGCTCACCCTGATTCCTCCCCAAAGGCCATTTGTTATGAGATTTCATCTGCTCAGAGCCAGACCCTTTCCAGTCGGAACTCTTGTTCGAATATAAGCCAAGGACAGCAGTAACCTTACCTGGACTCTGACCCGGATCATGGATCCGGATTCCGCGAGAGCCTGCCATCGAAAGGGGACCCGAGAACGAAAATTGGGATGGCTCATAAAACACGAGGTCATCTCGGCCACATCATGGGGTAAGTTTCATCATCTGAATGTGCGTACACCGCATATCAACATGCGGCCTTCTTTGACTTGTCCACTAGCGGAGCTTCAAGTTTGCAGGGTGATTAAATACGAGTCACCGAGGATGTATGCCCAACAGTATCGCTATATACTGGCATATAAACTGAATCTTGCGGGTCACATCTTGCATCAAAACTCCGCCATAGGCACGCAGAGACCTCAGTGTTGTTCCTCGGTCTCATGGTAGTCAACAGACCTAGTACACACAACGAGCTTTCTGGCATATTTGGTTCACACGATGATCGTATCGCTACAGGGACAGCCTAGTTCATTTTGATAGAAGGAATATCTTCTCATGCTCGTATGATCTTCCATTCCTCAGCCGCAACCGTTCATATCCCTGATACCCGGTGCAAAAAGTATGTGAGGCATGCTTTCTCCCTAGGCGTGGTCCGTGATGTCCATATCTTTACTGACACGCCCCTGGGACTGTCCACTACGTATCGTTTGTTTTTGTTCATAGTTACCCCGGATGTAACGTACACAAGACATATGTGTGAGAGAGTTTTACCAAACTCAATCCTTTGGCCACCGGGCTGTCTAGCTCTCGTTGTAGAACTGAACAACGCCACTCTATTCCAAGCAGGTGCCTCTGCAAATTTGGACCCTAATATTCCAAAGTGAAATGCATATATAAAGGGTGCCCGAGTCGCTAACTGTCTCGGACATCACTCAACACCCAAAAAACACCACATTCCACCCCTAGCAAATCCTCTATGCCTGTTCGTCTCAGCTTTGGCACCTTCCGCTCCCTCTTCAACAGTCAGCGGGCCGCGAGGCTCGCGTTCGTGACTGAATCCCAGAGAATCGCGCTTACAGCTCTCTGGGCTCAGAAAGAGAAAGTTACAGACAAACTTCCGACCGCGAGTGGCATGCTCCTACAGTACGCTATATGTGTGTCTTCCCCTCGCCGCAGACGTTGATCATGTCTTTTTCTTCAGCGATGCCATCCATAAATCCGATTCGGATTCCCGACCGCACTGTACCATAGATATCTTCGACGTGAACAACGTGCCCATCGGGACAGCCCATGTCTTTGAAGATACCAATGAGGATATTGAAGTCTTCACTGAACCGAGGACTGGCGCTGTGAAAGTGAGTAGTGCTACTCTCGTGGTCTTTTTTCCAGACGAGTGGACAAGTACCCTCTGAACACTTTATTTATGCATCTGTCTCTTTAGGATTGGAACAAAGCTCAGCAGATAGGAAATTGAATGGAGTAGAGATGGTTGTGAGATGGGGCCATATCTCCGAGGAATATTCATGGTCACAAACAATCACTGCAGGGTTGTGGAGTCGTTTGTGCTAGGTCTTTGCCAGAGTCTGGTCTTTATTACGTCTACCGCTCGTTGAGGGTATTCTCACTTCATACCGTTTGCTTGTGACAGTGAGCGATATCAGAAATTATGCCTAGTTTTTCAACTCTTCTTCTCGAAGTTGTTTTCTTTTTGTTTCAATTTCTATCTGTACTATTAGTTACGAACAAAGGTACTCTAGAGGTACTCGTCTGCGAAATTACGATGGTGTCAAGATGGTGTTTTATTTTCAATGGCCAAATTTGTTTACAAATATGTGTTTTGGCTGTATTAACAGTAAGCAAGCAGTAGTTATGAAAGAGAACTTATACACGAGTCCATCTCGAGTGGGACTGTTTTCAGGACGAGCACAGAGCGCTGAGCGAGTCTTGACTGAGCCCTGAGATCTAGTGAGCCATGCTACCGGATTCCACAAGATCCAAACATGAACCAAGCTAACGGTAAAGATGTCGCATGCGGATGCGGAAGTGCGGTCCGTGCTCCAGGCTATCAGGTTGCGCGGTTTTTATTGTCTCCCATCGTGACGTTGGCATTATCCAGCTGGAGAACAAGGCGAGTACTGCACAGAGACATATAGCCGAAGTATATTCTGACCATGCGTTGATTGGTATGGGATATATAGACCTTCATGAGTCTGAGGCTGCGACTCCACAACGGCCTGCCGATGCAAGCTTGGCTTCCGACTCTCCTCTACGCTCAGAAATTAGTCGGAACTCATCTACAAGACCATATTGTTCGTGCTCTATCACAACGGTGAGTAATAACATCATGCCCACGTCGTCGTTTCTCTGAAATTGTACAAGAGTACACATGGGTACTCTATCGCGAGGATCGCCACCATCACGCCGACCACACGAGATCCTCCTCATGCCTCTACCACCGAGACCCACTCCTTTCGATGATCGTGCGTTTAACTCGGCGTGCTCCAATACTTCTGCAGTAGCTCGAAAAGCATCGTCCCAAGAGTCCACTTTGGCTCAAACTGTCGATAAACTCGTTCATGATCTACGCTACCAATATTTGGTAAAAGTGCCGGTCTCCCCCACCGTTGGACCCACGCGAGCCTTTCCGCAAGTCCTTCTGCTTATGTTTTCTTACAGATATAAATATCTGACAACACACTGAATACCAGGTCCAGCTCTGATATCAATGCATATCACAAAGACGTTGTCGTCGCACCCATATTGTCACTATTGTCACATCTAGGAGCCAGCGCCGCCAAGATTCGTTTGAGCTGCGTGCTTCACGCCCTGACCCAAGGTATGTCTGCCCGTATATAAATGATTCTGAGGTTTATAAAGCACTTGCATCGGCTGCCGCAGGTATCTCCGTCGTTTCCGTCGAAAGCGATTTGCAAGTGTCCGCCGACAGACAGGGTACTCCTGTGGTTATCCTGCTGGTATGGTTCCTTGACCTTCGATTGTGCCACTTGCCTTATAATGTATTTTTGCAGCCGCAGGACACTTTAAGAAAATCGGCAATATCTATACATCTACAGCTGCCAGTAGCTGTAGCAGAATGTGTGCGTGGCCATTGGAGGCAACATCCTGCGAGACCTATTATCTGCAGTGACTTTTCCACACTCTTTATTCTACACCCTCCGGCTCTATCCAAGAAACGTGATGCCGTTTTCGAGAGCATTTCCCTTGACTCCGGATGCGTTGCCCTTCGCATAGCAATCGCAGCATGCGTGCATGCGGCTCTTCCCGCCAATACAATGGCGAAGCCCTTCAGATTCAACAGACCACTTCCGCTTGGTTGCATCATAGACCCCGCTAAGCAGATGGACCCTGATAACAAAGTATTCCAGACGTGCCGCCACCACGCAGACTTCGATTATTTTACTCTGACTCGGGATCAAGGACGAGCTCTCCAGTTCTTCCGCTGGAAGGAGCATGCTCTTGCCACCGCCCCTAGACCCCTAACTCCTGGAGTGCGACTGTTCGCACGTACCGACGCATATTTCAGACGGGAACATCTACTGAAGTCGTACTATGATATGCACGAAATGCACCCAGAGACACAGGATCATTTGAGACGCACCCAGAGGAGAGATATACTCCGGGAAACTGTGCGGCTCTCGACATCCTCTTCTTTTTCGATCGAGATTATGGACGACCTTACCCCGTCTGCACCACCTGCCGCCGAGCGCGAGTGCACGACATACCGGTGCCGCATGGTTTCCGTTGACGATGATTTTACACCGTCCTCCGCTAAGCTTTGCGTTAAACTGTTCAACGATAGGCAGGCGTATATGAAATCGCCTACGCCTGAGATGGTGAAGGAGGGGTTGCCGTTTCGGTGGTGGACACGATGGAGACGTAGCGAGGACTCTGTCCGCTATGAGCATGCGTCGTACACTCGGCTCGCATGTTTACAGGGCTCTGTACTGCCGTGGTATTACGGAGCACATGAGGTAAGAGCTATTGTGTTGCCTTTCAATCGGATTCAGCTGATCTTTTCCGATTCAAGTTTACCCTTCCTGATGGGCGCGTGGTGTACGGTATCCTCCTGGAATTCGTCGAAGCCCCTTCGTTAGCACGTCTACGTGCCGAAGCCCTTTGCGATGACGAACAAATACAGCTTGTCAGTGTTGCCGTGTGAATTCATGGGAAAGCCTATACTGATAGAGTTGTGTCAGATCAAGAGCATTCGCCATATAATCTCCGCACTGCAATGTGCGGATGTCTCTCAGCACGACTGGCACAGTGAGCAGCTGCTCTGCCCTCACCACCCGGAATTCGGATACCATGCCGTCCTCATCGACCTCACAAGTACCAGTACAACTATTGATCCAGAGGTCTATCATGGCGACGATGACGTTGACGCATGTTATGCGATGTTGTGCGACAAAGACCCGGAGTTTTGGACAGGCCTCCGCGAAGAGCTTGTGAACAAACACTTTCGCTGGAGGGAAGTATGGGATCCTCGACCTATAACTCTTCTTGACGGTTCATTGTTCAAGCCGCCCAACCCTTATCGCACATTGTTCGGAGGAGCGGGTTCGAAGGTGTCGAGGTGAGATGCGTAAGAGGGTGTGTGGTAAGCATTGCATTTTATTGTCATCTCTCCTTGCGGGATGGAATTTTTGTGGAGATGTTTCTCAAGTGCGGTAGCTAATGGCGTTGTTTTCCCTTTCAGAACTCATAATGTCGACTGGTGACGGGATGCTGGCGATCATAGCCATACGGTCGCATTATCGGGATGTGTTCTTGCTTGGTCTTTGTCAGTAGATATGCCATCGACCTTATGTTCTATCTCCCTCTGTCTGGAATTCTGATTGACTATAACGCTATCAATAAACTCTGTAGAGCAATAACTTGGATGACGTGTTTCCAGTGGTTGAGCACCACAGTCAGCCACTGGGATACTGACCTAGGGCGACTTCGGATACTGTGACTATTTGACCTATTTCGCCTTATGGATCCCCAAGGCAAAATTAAAATTTACGCTTGGAAGTCAACTTTAAACATTAGCCAGTTTCCTTGAGGATCTGGAATACGACGTTGTTAGAGTGAGAAGAAAAGTTGCCACAGGTCCCGTCACTGCCGATGCCGGCAGGAAGCCGCGGCGGAGATTCAATCAGGTTTTCAAATTAGTCAAGCGTGGCAATCGCGCTCGCCCTGAGCGCGACCGTGACAATCATCCAGCTTTCGAAGACGAGGAATCTCTTCGGCAGATTTTTATCAAAAGTGTCGAGTTGGCATCAACATTGAATACAAACTTTTGCTGGAGCCTGAAGAGATATGGAATTCGTGGCAACAGATCATCGTTCAAGCCCCCCAACCTTCATCGTACATTACTTAGAGGAGCAGGTTTGAAAGTGTCTCCGTAAGACGCGTAAGAAGGTGTGTGCTGAGGCATCGCCATATATCCTGACGGGTATTGACATTCCTCTTGATAGGATGAGATGTAAGCAGCGGTTCGTAGTGCCACCTCAGCGTGCGTTCCTGTATCTCCGTGGATGGGTGTGAGAATGCTGGTGAACAATCTGTGGCTCTTCTCTTCTCTTGATCATATGACATCCATCCATAAAGCGCGTCCACCTGCTGTCTCTTCTCTTGCCTCTATCCTCTAGTCCTCCGAGTTCTAGGTGTCTCAGAAATATCGGAAACATGACGGCCCCTATCTTTTCTTTCATTAGCGACTTGTGAGTTCTCTAGTCAATGAGAAAGTACTTTCATACTCATCCTTGAAATGTTGTACAGTCAACACATCGTCGATGGCAAGAAGCGCGGGTCGAAAACCACCAGCAATGTCGTCAATCCTACGACCGAGGAGGTTCTCGCTAACGTCCCGGTGGCTGATCGGGAACTTTTGGACGAGACAGTTGCTGCAGCATCACGCGCATTCCCTGCGTGGGCTTCCGTGCCGATCGAGACTCGACAAGCAGCCGTGGCAAAGCTAGGGGACCTCATGAATGAGAAAGTGAACGAGTTTGCGGACCTTCTCATCAAGGAAGTAGGGAAGAATCGAGAGCTTGCGTGCGTATTCGATTGGGCTTATGAGCGCTCTATTCGATGATTAAATACGATTGTGGGTTCGTAGGACTATTGAAGCAGGATCTTGCGGTCCTTGGCTACATGGACTTGCTGGCGCTTCACTGCCTGAAGAGGTTCTCCTCGATAATGACAATCGCACGGTTGTCACTCGTTACGTTCCCCACGGAGTGGTAAGCATGTTTATTACTTCAAGTTACAATCAAAATTTTTCATCATTTTCATCATTTTCCCAGTGCGCTGCTATAACACCTTGGAAGTGAGTCGCCATTTTGCCAGTTGTTTGTGCCACTCCGTCCAACCCCTCACTTTTTAGCTTTCCGTTGTCATTGATGGTTTGGAAACTCGCCCCTGCCTTGGTTGCTGGGAACTGTGTAATTGTCAAACCATCACCCTTTGCACCCCTCTGTGCAATTAAATTCGTAGAGCTCGCCCAGCAAGTCCTCCCACCTGGTGTGCTCTCTGTTCTTTCTGGGGACGATGAACTGTAAGCGGCGCTAAATATTGATCGCCCTGAAAATACGCTGAATGTTTTCGTCCAATTCAGAGGACCTTGGATATCGACCCATCCTGGAATCTCGCGCATATCACTGACGGGCTCCATAGCCGCGGGCAAGTCCATCATGCGAAACGCAGCGTCCAACCTCATGAGCCTTACCCTCGAGCTGGGAGGAAACGACCCGGCGCTTGTCTACCCAGACGTCGACCCCAAATCCCTTGCTCCGTATGTACATTTTGAGCCTAAGGTTTCCTCCACATATTGCAGCTCGCTCATAGTCGCACCATGAGAGCAGAAAGCTGTTTTGGTCCAGCTTCCATAATACTGGTCAGATTTGCTGCTCGATCAAACGCGTCTATATACACGAAGATGTCTACGAGGCCGTGCGAGACGAGCTGGTGGCTTACGCTAAGACGGTGAAGATCGGGAATTGCTTGGACCCGGATGTTGGTATGGGCCCCGTTCAAAACCGCGTTCAGTTCGACAAGGTCAAGTAAGTGCTGTCCTCTGAAGGTCTATAACTCAAAGTATCTAAAGATTCGGCTATAGATCGTATATCGATGACTGTCACGCCAATGGCTATGCTTTCTCCCTGGGAGGGGACACTATTCAGGGACCCGATAGCAAGGGTTTCTTCTTGCCGATCAGTATTGTCGATTGTCCGCCACAGGAGTCGAGGATCGTTCAAGAAGAGCGTAAGTGATGAAATACGCCCACTTCGCACAAAAGATTAAACACGTTGTTGTTCAATAGAATTTGGCCCCATACTGCCCCTGCTGAAATGGAAGGATGAAGACAAAGTCATCAAACAAATGAGTACGCAACACCGGTCTCGTCGGTCTCCAAACGAATGAGTTCTCATGTTTCTATGCGCTCTTGGGTATCACAGACGATGGTCCCTATGGACTAACCGCAACTGTATGGACCAATGATTTGGATCATGCACAGATGATATCGAAGAGGCTTGATGCTGGTACAGGTGGGCATCCCGCGCTTTACGATCGAGAATAACTGACAAACCCACTATCACCCGCTCAGTCTGGATTAACGAATCGCAACTGTTCCATTGGGATCATGTTCGTCCATCTTTACGTCTCTCTTTCGCCACGCCTCTAACTTCAACGTTTTTTTATCTTCAGCCTTTCGGAGGCGTTAAGGTGAAAGACACGGTCGCAACAGTTATTTTTCTAATATGCTGATCGTACTTGTAGCACTCCGGCATCGGCGTCGAGCACGGGCGTCAGGGACTTCTCTCCTGGACAAATATACAAACAGTCGCTCTAACTAAAGCACGGACCTGAGGTCCGATGATTCAATATTCATAAATCAGACAAGCGGACAACGTGAGTAGTAAGTCTTCCGAGTCGTTTATACACCGTGTTGAGGTCGCTCATGTTACGATCGTGCATGCAGGCTGTTGCGTGGGTAGACCATCGTTTTATGCTCCGTTTCTTCTTCTATACAGGTCCGGACGGTCGTATGACTATTGCAATGCCATTAAACTCTGTAGGCCGATACTTCGGATGCGGGATTTTGAGAGTTGAGTGACGCGCTATAATCGGCCAGAGGCCGGGGTATGCATAACCATTCGTGCCAAAAGGAAAGCCATTGATCTGAGCTCCAAGGCTGCGATAGACTTCGAGATTATCATTCGTGTTATCTGCAGGGCTCACAATAGGGCTGTTCTTGATATAGGAACTCCAATAGTCTCGGTCTTCAGGGTATACCTCCTATACCAAGTCTGCACTCGAGTTTGATAGCATCTTTATTCTGGGGTCTCTCGGGATTCATGGTCAAACCGGAAGTCATATGGCTGAAAATAAGACTTATATATAGCAAGTCGACCCGTACTCAGATTCAGAACGACGTCCGGGTCTCCTTGATCGTCCCCACACCATGTCTCCACCATGGCCCTTGGCTGTCTGGCTTACATCCAAAAGCTCGCTCCTTGCGTTCATGCTAGGCGTCATCACAATTGCTTTGGTAACCAGACTACGCTGGAACCAACTGAGCCTCCCTCCCAGTCCATCGGGTCTTCCTGTACTGGGGCACTTGCATCTTATGTTTGTCTCTGTTTACCACACGTTTTCTATACTTATAGATTCTGACGCCCTAACCCACACAGGCCACCAAAGCGACCCTGGATATGGTTTGGCCAACTCGCACGGAGCTTGCACTCCCCACTCGTCTATCTCAACCTGGGTGGCCAGGACACTGTAATAATCAACGACTACCACACAGCCGTAGACCTAGTGTGTCAATATCTACACTGTTTTCTAATATCATCCTCTTGCTCATGTCTCGTTATTCTAGCTCGACAAGAAGTCCTCCGTCTACTCCTCTCGGCCTCGTTTGGTATTGTCCGGCGAGTAAGGCGAATGTTCCTTTCGATTTATCTGCCTACATGACCTTATGACACTTTCTTGTCGTAGCTATGTTGGTTCGGGTAAAAGGCTGGTCCTTCTACCATACGGCCCATTGTGGCGCACTCATCGGGCAGCTTTCCACCAAGAGATGAATCCTCCGAAGATTGAATCATATGGACTCATTCAGACCTTCGAAGCAAGATTGCTCATGCGTCAACTATATCACTCGCCCGACAGTTTTATAAAACTATTCCAACAGTTTGCCGGAGGCGTTATTCTGAAGAGTATGTCAGCATCATAGTATCATGACCGAAAACCTCCATGGGAAGTAACTGACGGATCTGTAGTTGCGTACGGTTTGGAGTCAGACCATGCGGAGACCCACAAAGCGGTACGGCCTTTTGTCCTTTGAGTTTGCACGCTGTTTCAGAGGCTCATAAAAGCTCGGATACTGCCTAGGTGGATGACGTGACAGAACGTTAGTCCCAAAGTTGACTTCAAAGCGGGTTTTTAACTTACGTTGTACGTCTTCTAGTCATGCGATACCTTACAGAGTTATCAAATCCTGGAAACCTCGTCGATATATTTCCTGTACTCGATCTTCTACCCGACTTCTTGGCCCCATGGCGCCCCGCTGTCATCCGTGCACGCACTATCAATCAAGATCTGTACAAAGGGCTGGTGAGAGATGTCATAAATAAAGTAGAAGCAGGACAAATCAGGGCCGAACAAACATTTGCCTCTCGACTCTGGTTTAACCGAGAGAAAGCTGGTATGGATGAGCTTGATGTCGCATATCTTTCAGGATCAATGTATGTCTCTATTTCAGCACCAAATGACCCTCTCTAAACTGACGATTGACAGGTTCGAAGCTGGGACGGACACTACGGGCTCCTCTTTGGCAACTTTTGTTTTGGCTTCCATCACGCACCCCGATGTATATCTGAAAGCACAGGAGGAGGTCGACAGAGTCTGTGGTGATCAGCCCCCCTCGATGAGCCACTTCGAGTCTTTAGAGTACATAAGAGCGATGGTCAAAGAGACTTTGCGATGGAGACCCGTAACTCCTGGAGGTGTGTTTTGGACAGAGACATACCGCTCCCGAGGATTTTTAGACTGATCTCGAGCGCCAACAATTCTCAGGGTTTCCTCACCTGTCATCTGCCACCAAGGATGATACGTTTCGTGGACACAGGATTCCCGCTGGCGCTGTTGTTCTTCCCAATCACTGGGAAATGTGCTTCAGGTATGTCCTACCCTGATTTATTTATTTCGACAATAATTGACTATAGGATGAACTTACGCAGTTCCGAGACTTACGGTCAAATTTACAATCCTCAGCGCTTTGAACCTCGCCGATGGATAGAACGCCTTGGAGGGGTCGGAGACCTTACTGAGGGTCATCCAGCTTTCGGCTTTGGGAGAAGGTTAGAGCACCGAATACTTTGTCTCGTCTCGCTCGAATGCTAACAGTTCTTCATCAGGATCTGCCCAGGACGACATCTTGCCGCGAACTCACTCTACATCGTTCTTGCCCACCTATGTTACTACTTTGATATCAGAGTAAAGGACGGAGTTGAAGTTGACACTCAAGCATACACTACAGGTATCAATGTAAGCCTTTCCCTTGAATAGTATTGGGAGTAGAACTTACCACAGCACCATAGATCAAGCCGGAGCCATTCGAGTGCGACATCTCACCTCGAGAAAACCGTGTCGCGGACTTGAATAGGCAAGCCGAGGCTGCGAGAGAAGGGCTTCGCAGCCTTTGAACCAGGAGGTTTTTGTTATCGTTGTGGTCTTGGATCAAGAATAATCACCATGTCCTGCCAGTGGCCCAGGTGTAAGTAAGTATAACAAGAATCAGAGATGGTCTGCCAGGAAGTCAGATTCAACTCCTCGGTCTTAGGTACCTCCCGGTACCAGAGGTTGGATCAGTGGATTATATCTTGTATAACCCTGTGTTGACGAGTACGCAGATGTTCCTGTACGCTGAATTCAACGGCGGCGCATCTGAATGATGTGGCGAAAGCGCTACCTCTGTCTCGGTGGCGTGTCAAGATCGCCACTTGACAAACAATGCACAACAGACGATCGGGAGGAAAGTCGCCTTCGACTCTGAGACTGAGCTCGACAACAACTCGACGACATGTATTTGCGCGGTCGTTACATTTACTCTGCCCGGCTCTGCTCTCGCCATAAGCTCAGGCTGTCTAACCCAACTTAATAATTCAGAATCGTCGCCACTCCCCGTGGATAACCCAGGTATGATAGCATGGCATCTTCTTTTTTTGACATGTTCTCGGCTGATGCGCCTTTCCTGGACTCGTCACCACCATTTGGGTCATTTTGAGTCCCAGCTTCTTCTAACATATTTCAAGCGCACTGCTTGTCCGCGCCTGTTCTGTTCAGATGAGGCATGACCGAATTGTGCGTCGACTATAAAATGACTGGCAAGTGGAGAGCCGCATCTGATTCTCCATATCTCCATCATGCATCATGTCCTGTCCACTTAAGCTTAGACTCGTACTCAGACTGAGTCTTGAGAGCATTATGCCAACGTAGGCCTCACGACTACCATTCCGACTCTGATCAAAGGGAAGTCAAGATGTCATGTGGCTCACTTGAGGGCATATATAGGTCAAGGCGACCTTGGTCAAACTCGACACTCGCCTCAAGCCTGGAGCTGCCACTTCCCCTCGTGCAGGCCAATCGGTTTTGTATGAAATGTACTCGTTGTGGCCTACCGTCACTTTGTCTTTGACGAATTTCTCACTTGCGTCTCTGCTCGGCACCACATTATGCATCGCATTCATGGCTGGATTGCGTTGGACTTCAAGACATCTACCTCCGAGTCCCCCAGGCCTTCCCATAGTAGGACATCTACATTTGCTGTTGGTCATCTTTCTTTCCATATATCCTACTCGTTTTATGTTGGAATTGTGTCCATTTTGCTTGACAGGCCCTCTAAGCGAACGTGGATATGGTTTGATCGACTCGCACAAGATTTGCGTTCCCCGATCGTTTATCTGAACCTAGGTGGTCAAAGCACGGTAATAATCAACGATTATCAGGTCGCAGTCGACTTAGTACGCCCATGTTCACGTTCAGTGTTTATATTCGGCCTCTAAAATTGTCTCCTGACTTCCATAACGTCTCGATACTTATAGCTTGAGACGAGATCGTCCGTTTACTCCTCCCGACCTCACTTAGTGCTAGCTGGCGAGTAAGGCGTATCCTTATATTATCTTATCATGTTACTTACAGAGAAGCCATGTTGCAGCTACGCTGGAACGGGTAAACGGATAGTGTTTCTGCCTTATGGCCCTCAGTGGCGCGCCCATCGTGCAGCAATTCACCGAGAAATGACACCCCCGAAAGTCGAGAGCTACACCCTGATACAAACACTCGAGGCAAGGTTGTTGATTCACAGGCTACATTGCTCGCCCTCTCTGTTCATGGCACATATCAAACAATATGCCGGAAGTGTCATACTCAAGAGTATATCTACATCTAGTGGCGAGCGGGGCTGGCTCTTAACTGACGCATTTATAGTAGCGTACGGTCTGGACTCAGATCAACTCAGGACCCAAAAAGCGGTATTTCTCCTTGTATTTCAGCATGGCCTGATTTTAGACTCATAATAGATTTGTTGTAATTCAGGTGGGAGACGTAACACGAGGCTAGTCCATTTCACTCCATGATGAATCCTACGCTGACAGTCTGCATATTCCAGTCGTGGAAGAACTCCTCGATATATCTAACCCCGGAAATATCGTCGATATATTTCCTGTACTCGACCGTCTTCCTGACTTCTTGGCTCCATGGCGCCCAGCCGTGGTTCGTCAACGTACCGATACCCAGAACTTGTACAAGGGACTAGTTCGGGACGTCGTAGACAGAGTGGAAGCAGCCGAAATTGGACGTGAACAAACTCTTGCCTCTCGTCTCTGGTATCACCGAGAGAAGAACAAGATGGATGAGCTCGATGTGGCGTATCTCGCGGGAAGCATGCAAGTTTACACGTTGGAAACGATTTTCGTAGATGTAGGCTGATAATGTGTAGGTTCGAGGCGGGGACGGACACTACCTCCGCTGCCTTGTCGACCTTTGTCCTGGCCGCTATCACATATCCACAGGTATTTACTACAGCACAGAAGGAAGTGGATAGAGTCTGTGGCGATCAGCCGCCCTCGATGAGCCACTTCGAACCCTTGGAGTACGTCAGAGCGATGTGTAAGGAAACTTTGCGATGGCGCACGGTGACTGCCGGAGGTAGGTCTCTTCTACATACTCGTATTTCGTTCGAGGATTGTTTCAGTGATCTTGTTGTCCATGGCACACTACCAATATTAGGATTCCCTCATATGTCCAGTGCAACTCAGGACGACTCATTTCATGGATACAGGATACCGGCTGGCACCGTCATTCTGCCCAATCATTGGGGGATGTGTTTAAGGTACATACATGTATATTTCGCATCGCCTTGACACTATACTCCAGCCACTGATCGGGAAAAGGGATCTCGACAGCACGAAGATGTACGGTCAAACATACGATCCTCATGTCTTCGAACCTCGGCGGTGGATAGAACGACCTGAAGGAGTTGGAGATCTCACCGAGGGTCATCCGTCCTTTGGTTTTGGGCGAAGGTAAAGATGGCGTACTCTTTTCTCGTCTCAACGCTCGCTGATCGTCAGTTGTTCACCAGAATCTGTCCAGGACGATATATGGCTGTGAACTCGCTGTTTATCGTTATAGCTCATCTCTGTTACTACTTCGATATCAAAGCAAAGGACGGAGTCGAGGTTGACACCCAAGCATATACGACAGGTATAAATGTAAGCCTTTTCCTTTAATACTGGGGCTATAGCTTATCGCGGAACCATAGGTTGAACCGGAACCATTCGAATGCGACATTACACCTCGAGAGGATCGTATTGACGACGTGGAAGAGCAGGCCGAAACTGCGAGAGAAGCGCTTCGCTGCCTGTAAGCCTGGAGGATAGGATGCGTATTTAGTCGTCAGGCGTGATTAGACTACCACTTACTGCAGTATACCTGGAAGTTTGGAAGGACAGGCTTCAGCAATCCTACCGTCGTGCCCTTAGAACGAGAGTAAAGATCGGATAAAGTCAATGGATGAAGCTATTTCATCATGTAATTAAAAGAACCTCATTTACCTCCTATAATATCATTCTGCCCGACCATCTCGGCATCGCTATGCACTCTCTCACGTTGTCGATGCCACCGATCCAGCTGATCAACCTCTCAAAGCCAACACCAAATCCACCATGCGGTGCCCCTCCGAACTTCCTCAACTCCATATACCACTCATAAACATCCCGATCCATTCTTCTCTCTTTGAACTCCTTCTCCAGCACGTCCAGCCTCTCTTCCCTCAAGGACCCTCCCGCCAATTCGCCCAGATAGGGTATAAGAAGGTCGAAGCAGGCGACAGTCTTCTCGTCAGAATTGTGGCGCATATAAAAGGGTTTGATAGAGCGTGGATAATCGGTCACGAAAACGGGACCTTTGACGAGCGTCTCGGCTAGCCAGCGTTCGTGCTCGGATTGGAGGGATTTACCCCATTTCGGTAGGAACCTGAATTCTCCTGTCTTCGCATGCTGGGTCTCCAACTCCTTGATAGCATCCGTGTAGGTCAGCAGAGGCCATACTCGCTTCTCTGTCGCTTCCTCGAGGAGCCGCAACTTTTTCTCGTCTCCATCCTTCCACAAAAGGCCGCGGTCTCGAGAATCGAACCCATCTCGCAGTACCTCTTGAAGGGAATCTTGAATGACGTCACACACGCCTTGCACGGAGTCCACGAAAGCGAGCTCGGCCTCCATCATCCAAAACTCGGCCAGATGTCGGTTGGTTTGAGAACGTTCGGCACGGAAGCAAGGTGAGAGCGTCCATACACGGGAGAGGGAGTTTGCGAGGGCTTCGAGGTGTAATTGAGAGGAAACAGTGAGAAATGACGGTTGCCCGAAGAATTCTACGTCTTTTGCAAGAGTGTCGGTGCCGGGTATGGCCGCAGCAGATACCGAGTCCGATGAAGGAGGTGCTACTCTGAAAGTCTCGCCTGCACCTTCCGCATCGTTGGAGGTGATAATGGGCGTATGAACATAAGAGAAGTCATTTGCCTGGCAGATAAAATCATAATGGGATATGTTTATTCAACCCACTAAATACCTGGGGAATCTCTCGCGTTTCAACGCACCTCGAAATATTGATGAAGAGACCTCATAGTCTGATCCCGTAGCCGCATGACTGCCGCTGCATGAGCGGTGCGCGTTCGGAGATGTGCATGGTCTCTCAGATATTCGACAGGTAGAGCCTGCTTCTGAATTGGATATTCCTGGTAACAGCGACTTATAAGCCTTCACGGGTTCTCGTAAGGTGTAGACTTTGGCACATACGGCTGAGTCACACGGACCAAGGATCTGAATCTCTTCAACGCTCAGTTCTGTATCTTGCCCTTTCCCGGGACTGTGCTGCAGTTTTCCCTTGACACTGACGCTACATCCGTTCGTCAACCTGATCAATGATTGTCAGCCTCTATGTTAATTTAGCACCATAAATATGTACACACGATGCCGCTAAAGCTGGGTTCGTGAACACGGCCTGTAGCGAATCGGCCGACGTGCCATCCTGCAGGACCGCAAATGCGACCCTTTTTTGGTGCCGAATAGATTTCACCCAGCCGTTCACTTGCACGCTTTGGCCATCAAACTGGCCGTCTCTGACTGAGCGAGCGAGGAGTTGACGAATAGTGGGTTTGAGCCGACTACTCGACGGTGAAGTAGATAATAGACGACGTAACATCTAGTTCCTCCAATGGCACAAGGGCCATCATTCACAAGACAAATAAGAACAAGATATCATGATCAGTATAACAAGTGACCTACTTGGTTAGCGCAGATAACCACACACCTCTCCTAGTTGCAACAATTAGTGAGAGAACGAAAGACCGAGACGCGACGCGTCCAACAGCCACGTGCATATTCTCCCACGATATTTTCCGAGCGCGCCGTGGGCGTGGCGGAGCCAAAAGTTGATATCCTTTCCACCCAATTTCCACCCATCGCATCGGTTTTTGCTGTCGGTCAATCACCCCAGCTCACTCTTGATGCAAAAGTATCATGATTACGGCCAATTGTGCCGCGCCAACAGGACACTGCTGATCTGTGGCATCGTATCTGTCCCCCAACCGGCGTCTACTAGTACTGGTATGAATACGTGGATTTTACTTGATTCGCTCACTCGACCTCGGTCCATGGGATGAGGATATCCTTGCGTGGAAAACTTGTAGCTGATGGAACTTTGCTTTTTAGGCTTATGAATTCGGTCAATGTTGTCCTTACCCGGATACCCTTCGCGTTACACCTCCGACTCCGCAGTAATTGGAAGGAAGGAAGGACGGACGGAATATTGTGGTGCGTCTCAACTTTCTTCAGGGTATAGAAACCTCTACTTGCGAGGACAAACCCGCCGAATTCTCGGTTCTCCGCCTTTGCCTTCCTCATAAGTATGTTCCACAGGGTTACAGGTGATACTTACCTCAAACGTCGGGATCAATATACTTGTACACCCATCTCTATGCTGATGATCGCTTCCTCACTCTTCGTGGAATTCGACGGGCCGTCGCGGATTTGCGGCTCACTCACGCTTCTGCCTAGGTGTTTACGATCATGCTTTACTGGACGCGATATTTCGAGTCTGATAGAAATCCTTGGCACTGCCCTTATAATGCACTTGCTTCACTATTGCGGAGCCACTATTTAGACCCGCTCAAGCGGAATCCAAAACCCCTCTCAAAGATGATACATGGAGACGACTTTGGCGCTTTCCAAAACCAAGAGTTCTTAAGTGAATTCCGTGAATTGTTCTTCGCACTACATCTAGAGGATGCTAAAGATGTCCGGGGTTTCCCTATAAGGCAACCCCGAATCGTCTGACAGCCTTTAGCGTCCGTCAAGTCAAGCTTTGGGGATTGTAGCGGAAAAACATGGACTCACCTTTGCGGCACTCTAGGTTTTGTCTTTGTTGCTTCTCAAGAGGTCCATTTACCACTCTAAAGAGTCTATCCGCGGATGTGACCTTCCACCAAGTCCTGTCGCACAGATCTCTTTTTCATTCGCCAAACGATGTTCATCAGGAGGATATAATGTCCTCGACTTGGATATGCCAATATCGTCGTCGTTATGCAATGGCAGCACTGTGTGGGGCCCTTTTGACTTTGCCGCGCTCGTATGTAATTTTTGCTTGCCTAATTCTCGAAGGTCGCGAACCTTCATCCTCCTCCTAGCCAGAGCAGTCGGCAACGATCAGGCTTAAGGCAGACAGCCAATCAGTCCGCACGCGTTTTTGACTAATGGTCGCCAATCCTGACTTCTCTAGAACAATTTACGAAACATATATGTCCTTGTTGATCGTGGACTCGGTGTGTGCGTCCCCTGATACAAAGGTTGCCTCCATCATCTCATCCGTCTCATCGTGGGTAAGACAGTGGCTCATTATATACAGTCAACCCTGTTGATAAGTTACTGGGTCGGTATATCTTCTCCCCAGTCGGTGGTTTGAAAATGCGTCTTTGCCGCCTTGCAATACTTCTCGGAGAATAAAAGGAAGGTGTGGGGGTGGAATGGGTCTGGTCCGTCTTCTGCTCTCCGTTGACAGCTGTCGAGCAAGGTTCCTGGATATCATGTTGCAGTACATGAGCAGGCTCCTTCATCCTTCATAAGAGGTTTCTCAACAACCAACGTCAATGAACGTGGGGAGATCTAATAGGATCCAGCTCTCACGAATTGGAGAGTCACACAATACGACTCGGAAGCATGCTGTGGCCGTTGTTTGGAAGTTTATAATTATGAGCGTTCATTGAGCGTTCATGTCGAGAAATTGTGGATGTCCGGACAATTCGGGGAAATAGAGCGTTCTACATACTTTCCGTCTGCGTCGTCATGGAGAATGGTTCATTTACGAAGAGTAAATGGGTGCCTTCATTGTGAAAGGTACTTACCGCGGGTCCCGAGAAGACAGGCATCGGCTTTTCTCAGGACAGTGTTTCCGGTCCCGCCATTATAGTCGCGTGGCAGCCACATGAGCCGGATCGAAGATGCATCGTCTTGGTGATCGACGGTAACCCTCCGTCACTGTCGTTCTTGCTCAAGCTTTGTCTTCAGCAATGGCTCTGTTCGTGCGTCCTCGACGTAGAATAGTCCACACTGTTCTGCCCGACGTCCCCTTAACTCTCGTCGTCCTGTTTGTATACTGTACGTTCCCTTTTGAGCATACCGTCCTTGTCATGATACTGCGGTCTACCCGGTGATGGTAAAAGGCCGCTTCACTGTCGTAAACCTTCCTTCTAGAGTCCATCCTTCATCAATTTTGGATCATGCCTCTCTTTCCACAATGTGAACGTCGTGGAATGTTCTCAGCCGCTTTCTTGCGAGCTAGGGTCATTCAACAACGCTATCCTGCGCTCGGTGCTCACCCTAGCAACGTCGTCTGCGACGTCGGTCGCGTCGGCGCCTGCTATATCCTACAACTACCGGTTTTCCGTCAGAAAGCATGATGTATGTCATTCACTGGCGCAGGTTGTCTCCATTGACGATGGCCGTAACCGGTGATCTTCTAGTGATACAGTCCATATTTCGGTCTGGCTTTCCATCACTTTGTATATGAAGCTTTCGGCGTCATATACGGTACACTCATGAGCACGGAGGGGATTTAGATGTTCGTTGTCCCATGTATATTGACGTTGAGATGGTCTTGTGTAGTTTCGTCATTGTGCATCTGCATGATTCTTGGAAATTAGACCCCGTTTCTTATTCCAATCGCTCCTCAGTCAACCGACGTTCATCCGGCTTCGATCGGCCAGGCACTCGCAACGACCTACCATATCAGGCGAAATCGACGAATCCTCTTGACAAATCCACTTCCTGGACGGTAGAGATGCGGTACTGTAAGTAGAATCCTTGTGTGTCGCTGCCGCTCGTCGTGCCTGGAGGATTGTATGCATGGCTACTATCCATGCGAGCCTCTTCCCTTTGTCATTGGCTGCGGCGGCTGGAAACGAGAATATGACCGTACCTGGGATGAAGAGCGATAGCTCAATAGGTGAGATGTTTGATTCAAATTTTACCCATGAGATCTGGGTTGACGCTCGATGCTTTATTGGCTTCTACGTCGACTCCGTTAGCTCTATCCAGGTTACGGGAGCTGGAGCCCGGAAGACTTTCGGAGCATTCCTTGGCCCACCAAAATCGAGTATATTATGTAGCCAGCCCAGCTCTGAATGCTTAAAGAGCCGCCGTGTTTATGATGTCGTCCCCCAACAATATGGTTTTCCGTTTGCCTACCCACCTTGAGTCATTCGTTCCTCCTCCCTCCGACCAAGTTCCACCATCACGATCATGGTCCGGCGTCCTCACATTAACATTCTCCTCCAACTCGCTCAGCGGTTATGAAGATATATACGTCACAGCCGCGGAGACCGATGGTGACAAGTATGTTCGTCTTCTTCTTGTCATTTTACAACTGAGCTGACGGTAACGATGTACTTAGCCACATGAACCTATGGCCTCCGCGCCTGTATGTGTACTTGAGCCAACGTCGCACGGCTTCGACAGATGTATCTGCTTGGGTTCAACGTCATAGGCCGCCCGTCTGTGCTTTCATGCCAGATAGACTCCCGGACCCCGCCGCCCATACCGCCAATCAGGCCAACTTTGCGTCTTTCTCCCGTCTCTTGCTCGAAAACCAACTCGTACGTAGCACTTACCGCTCATATCCGACCGCCTAGGGTCGGTGATCTCACATCCGTTACGTGTGTTAGGTCGCCTTTGCCCCGTGGAATGCTCCCGACAGACTTCCGGGTGCTGGGATCATGATATATCCCACCTCATCATCGACTTCTCTTCTCGTCGGAGCTCTCTTTTTGTCCGGACCATTCCCGGACTTCATCGCCTACACGGAGCCACAACAAGGCTCCTCACAGTCTTTCCCACCGCCATACTCTTTTCCAACTTCCAACCCAATCCCTGGCCCCTCTACCTCCTATAGCGTCTCGACTCAGCATCACCACCAGTACGGCGATAGCCAGGGCTCCGCGGGCTCTTACCCCTCGTCTTCCACGTCTGGATCGGCTTCCTGGATGAGCCCAAGATAATGCAGAGCATTGCTTTGTATCCACTCTATTTGTGTTTTTATCCCGTCCGTTATTTTGCTGTCTATATTCTTAGCCCTTCATGCCTTGCTCTGCGCCTTTACTCCATCCTGCGGATACCACAAACGTTTATTGCTTTCGATGTATGATACCCTTGTCGCTTCTTCCCATTGCTCTCGCATCAGTCGACCTGCTCGCTTTTCGCTTTCGCTTTCATTTCCGTTTTTCCTCTCTTGAACCTGTAGCGATTATTCTTCGCGGCTTCGTATTTCTCTCACTCTCACTCTCACTCACTCTTCTCTTCTCTCTCTCTTTCTAGCTGATTCATATTAGATGCGAGCGTCTGGTAGTGTCTATTGGAGGAAAGAATGTAGCCAGAAAACATCCGTCTCATAGTCCATATCTGTGTATGTATTATTACTGTCGACGCCGCCTCTACGTACTACTCGCTCGGTCTGGACCGACCCGTCTCGTTCAAATACATAGCTTTTTCTTGGTGATGCGACCTCGTACTCGCACGCTCCTGCTTATACTGACGAGGTAGCAAGGCCAAGCCGAGAGCGTACAGGATCCAGAACACCTATCAAGGACAGAAGAGGATCTCGATCAGCCCCTGAGTCTTATCCTCGGACAACAACGGAAACGTACTATGATTAACGCAAGCCAGGCATCCTTCGCTTTGTTGGGCACGGGGTGAACGTTTCCGGTCACGAAGGCCCACTCGATCGTGAGACCGTAGTTCACCTGCGTTTATTCATAAACCGTGGGTACACAAAGTCGCAAACAGGTCGGGACCCACCTGGTATGCAGCGAGAGCCATGATGAGTAGGCCTAGGATAGCGTGGAAGTAGTTCTGGGGGGGACGATGGGCAATGAACAGGCGAGGCATCCGAACGAAATGAATGAACAGCCCCAGTACGACTTGAATAAGATACAAAATCAACAGGGTAAGACCGATTTTCTATGGAAGATCGTCCTAGATGAGACCTCTGTTCCACGTGCGTGAGCCTGATGGGACTCACCTTGTGCGGGTCATTGAAATGGCCCAACCCTGTAGTATTGGTCGCCATATACCCCAGAGCAAAAGCGGCAAAAATCACAGGTCCCGAGATCAAGAAATTTACAATCCAGTGTGCGAACCACCATCTGGAAGAAGTGTATGAGCCAATAGGTTCGGAGAACACGGAAGGAGGAAGCGGTTTACTTGGTCGTAAAAGTCCGGGTATATCTTGCTGTCAAACTTCCAATGGGAATAAGAATGAGGAAACCGATAGAAGCAAGGAAAGCATGATGCTCGAGCTGCTGCTCCAGTGGAGAAAACGGAATAGAGAAGGTTGGAGGAATAATGGTTGTCATTACGGCTCTGGTGCACTGTATTGCAGGGGCTGGAGTGGGCAAGGAAGAAGCAGGTCTCAAAGCTAGGTATGGTCGTCTCATCCCTCGATGTTTTATCAGGAGAACGGGGCGCCGCCTTGACGCATTCTCATGCCACTCACTTCCGAGGAGACGCTGCCCTCACGCGATTCGGTAGGCTCAGAGCGATGCATTCGTGCTAAAAATTAGGAGGACGCCATTGGCGAAGACACTCTATGAAAGAATTGATGCGAGCACCAGAATACTGCGGAGCTTTTTCAGGAATGAGGGCTCTCACCGTTTGTGGCGGGCGTGGCTGAAGCGTGTAAAACTTCACACCGAATGTGGCGAGTCTGATCCTCCGCGTCTCGCGATAGCTCGCAGTGTTTCACGAGATGGCTATGCTACTAATGCTGCTAGTCTTGTTGAGGACAGTCAAAGGAAAGACAGTGATACACTGCGGAGGTGGGAAACACCGCCACTGTCAGTTAGATGAACGTTCTCCGCGTTATTATAGTTTAGTTGAAGGAACGTACGCCTGAGATTCAGATCCGCGACGCCTTCCAAGTTGTCGGGTAAGTGGAGTTCGGGAAGAACGTTCTGCCTTTGACGTCTTGACGCTTACCACGTTGAGCAAAAGGCGGGATAATGACCTCCAAGCGAAGGATCAACATGAATTCCTTCTCCCAAGATCATAAACATCTGGTATAGGAGAGTTAATGCGGTACATTATCATATGCAAGATGAAAAGCGGAATTCTAGAACATAAAGTCATGACCTAGGAACACGACAAATCGTAACGAATAAATACACAGCGAAGACAACAAGACGGAGGACTAACTGGCGGCTAAACAAATGGACATATATACTGACCACACTCAGACAGCCATCTCCTCATTTCTTGACTGTACATCAGGCAACCACCCGTCATCGTCACGATCAGCTGATGCCTTCCCCTTTCTCCTGGCTCTCTTCACCGGCGACACTGGTTCCTCTTCCTCTTCCTCCTCAGGTACATCCTCGAGTTCGCCATTCGTAACCTCCGAGCCAAACCCAGCCAGATGCCTTCCCTTCCTCTTCCCTGACTTCCCCGGCGACTCCAACTGATCCAACATATTCTCCGCCACACTTTTGTCCTGAGTTATCTCTATGGACAAGTTACTCCTGCTCCTCCTACTGGTCTGGGCTCCATCGACGGAGATCTCGGACTGATCGAACAACTCAGTGCCGACCGCGATTGACTGGTCTTCGTCGTACTGGGTAGCACTGGTGCCCTCTCCAGACGAATTGACGAGAGCCTTGAGTGTCTTTGATCTCTTCTTCGGCTTAATCTTCTTGACCCTCCTGGGAGATGGCTGGAACGTCTTCCCGTGCTTGACGGCGTACTCGATCTCGAAAATCCTTCAGATATGACACACGTCAGATTCGAAGGAGCGACGGAGACCAAGGTTCGGCCAAACAGGATGCGATTTAGTGTAGCGATGTGATGATGGGGTTAAAGGAGCGATGATAATGAATATAGAATGGAATAGGAATCAAAAGAGGGTGATAGTTAGAACATCAGGTCGGCTTTTTACGAGAGGTAGAAGCGCGACGAGAAACGCGAGTGCGAGAGGAGGAGCGCGGGGGTTGATTGGGGGTTGTGGAAATGGAGAGGGGGGCGGGGGCGTGGGAGAGGGAGAGGGAGAGCTCGGAAAGGAAAACATGAATGACGAAGAGTATCCACCTCTCTTTCAGTTTAATGTTGTCCGGGACATAGGTCTCTGCCTTGCGGAACAGGTCGAGCGCCACTTGAAGATCACCTCTATAGTCCCAAACACGAATTGTATGTTCAGAATCGTCATCGGGAACCCGATCGGGGACAGAAGATGAGAAGAAACAGAGAAACAGTCAGCGATCACCGAGGAAAACCCTAAACAGTTTAAAGGGAATGATAGATGTGGGAGTGGCCCATGCGTACTTCTCAGAGTGCTGCCTGGCCAGAGCGACATAAGCCCGTCCGGTTTTCTTCCGAGACACGGGCGAAAGGCCGCCCGCGAACTCCATGTCTGTGTTTCCCCGCTCACTAAACAATTTAAACGACAGACAAGTCAAATAGTTCGTTAGCGTAAACTTACGACGAGAGAAGAATGAAGGGCATGGGGAAATTGCAGGGGCTTTGAAAGGATCGGGTACGTACACCTTTCTCTCGAGCTCCTTCAATCTATTGCGGAGTTCCGCGTCGAGGTCTTGGTGACGCTTCAAGAGCGGAGTCAACAGCCCAGATGGCAAGCTCACTTGCGAGCGCTCTGGTGTCAAGGCCATAGATCGAGACTGTCCGCGAGAACAATCTGCCTCTTGAGCCGCGGCCTTTGCACGAGCCTCTTCATCTCTCAGCCTCTCTTTCTCCTTCTCCTCCATCCTACGAGCCACCTCAAGCTCAACCAATTTAGAAATCTGGATGGGGTGCCTTCATCAACCATACTATAAACTGTGAGAGGAAGGAAATGGTCGAACCTTCTCATTGATCTCCTTCTCCGACAGTCCAGCCATACCACTGAGCGCCTGTGTTCCTGCATTCCCTACCGACCCGGCGAAACCAAACCCACTGCTTCTCCTCCGATTCGCTCCCCCAACTCCATGGCCCAACCCGATATTACTCGCCCTCGGAACCCTCGACGTACCCGCGGGCACACCCCAAGCCGCAGGGACTAGAGAGGCCCTGGGCACGCGAGAAGAACTGACAAGGGCAGTCGGGAGCAGGGATGGGCGGGGACCGTGACCACGGAGTCCCCCAACCGAAGGACGAGGCCCGTGGAGTCCGCCAATCGAAGCGCGGGGGCCGGCTAGTGAATGACGGGGGCCATGGGCGACGAATGAACGACGGGGACCAAGGGATCCCGCAGAGGTCGAGGGCAGATTGGCGGGTTTGGAGGGGGCGACATGGGAGGTTACAGCGGCGAAGTGAGGTTTCGGGACCGGGCGATTATCTGTTACGCGAGAAAGGCGATGTGTGAGTACCCATTGAGTCAGTTGGAGGTTCGAAAAGCACAGGGTAAAATTAGTACGAGTATGGAGGACCGAGGAATGGAAATATGAAAGGGAATCGAAAAATGGCGGCTGAATGTAGACAGGGAGACAAGGATAGGCCGAAAGAAGGCAAAAACTGAAGAGACAGACCTCGTTCGTTGACGACAGGTTTATTCTCCACGTTCTTCGTCCGAACCGCAAAGCTGTACAGTCACAAAAACCGAAAGTCAATCCCATCAAGGAAGATCAGTTCAATTTCCTCGATGAAGATGACGTCGGATACACATAAAGATAGAGTGTATCGTCGATAGGCTTCGCATATTAGACATCGGTAAACATAGCAACTCACTTGAGCGTGTTGAGCGTGTCCTGTCTGAACTTCGGCCCTGGCGCCAAATTACAGATGAGAAGTCCGACAGAGGTTCCTCCGAGCGCATCTTGCAAGATTCGGGTGAGTTTCGAGTTGCGGTATGGTATCCGTGTCTGCGGTGGGGTCATGAATGTAAGTCAGTTCGAGCCCACATCACTGGGAACCATGCGGATGAAGAGGAAAGGGGCGAAAACAGACCGCTCCTTGATTCAACGCATGTACGACTTGGCCAAGAACACTCAGAGATTTGTTGATCGCGGACGACTCTGCCATGCGTGAAGGATCGTTGCCTGTGAGCTAGACGAAATAAGCAAAGTCAAACTCGTCGCCTTGACCTCACGACCATGACTGCATGAAGAACAGGGTCAACATCATGGTCATGCTGTAAGGAACGAACCTTGTTATTCTCCGAGCCCGCAAGATCCACCAGGTTGATCTTGCCCATGACGGCTGAGGAATAAAACACAGTTAGGCAACAGAGACCGAGGGTTTCCCGATGAAAATGGGGGAGTGTCAACCATGAATGGATGTAGGAGTGACTTAGGGAACGGGGAAAATTGGGAATAATCAAGCGGCAAGAAGATGACGCTTACTCTTGTTCTCTGCTGAGTTGAGCATCTTGACGTGTAATGTCACGATTGCGTGCGAGCGAGAGGAAGCCCTGTTCAACAGCGTGGCACCAACTGAGCGTTGCTTGTTCGCGATTCTGTTTTGTTACCGCGATGTATTCAGTCATTACGTTCGGGTGTGGAGGAAAAGGACTTACGAATACAGGTTATCGAACTCCTCCGCGCTGTCAATCGGGATTTGCGAGAGATTCGCAACGAAAACCTGACCGACATCATTCTCCCTGACAGGGAGTTTGGGTGCCTGTGGGACAAAGGGCATCCGCGAATTCCGGAACACGAACGGTCTAGAGTCAGCAATACGTATTTCGGACAAGGCACGCAACCAAGCAATACAGACCGTGTCGCGATCAACAAGTAAGTCGTAACACTCGTCTTTGTATATCTCCATGTAGGAAATAGAGAGCGAGACGTCGTCGTGAGCTTCTACAAATTCCTTTTGCTCGAAAAGGGCCTGTTTGTAACATTTGTTCGAAACATTAGTGTGTGAACGGTCGAGAAATAGATGGTGGATGGTGGTGATGTGATCGTGTCGACGAGACTGAAGATGGATACGAACTCGGACTACTCGGGGAATGACTCCCGGGGCGTCTCTGATGCCCTGCATTGTGTGCGTCTTTCCGGAAGATGTAACGCCATACGCAAAGATAGTAACCGTCTGTGGATGAAGAGTACGTGAGAAAAGCACAAGTCAAAGTTTAGCTAGATCTCGGGTAAGAGAGAAGGGGTGGGAGGGATAGTTCCCAGCTTGAGGAACAATGTACATGGCTTCGGAAGGTTGCAAATAATCAAAATGACTTTGAACAGAGGCAACCAATCATGCACATCCGCTGGTGGAGCGCAATGGTCCGAAAACACATGGAGCATGGAGGATCTTGGGGAATGTCGACGACCGCAGTTTCCGAGAATATTTAGTCGCCAGAGAACTGGATGAGTGCACTTACCACACCACTAAAAACGACATCTATCATAGGTTGAACATCGTTCTCGAAGATCTCCTCCTGGGTAGACTCTTCATCGTAGCACGAGGTAAAGCTATAAGATATACACGCGTAATCAAAAGACCACGTAACTCAGTATGCATCTCAAAAGGAACCATGAATGAACGCACGGGAACCGAAAGACCTGGTGGGCATCTCTTGGGTTTGTGACGCATATCGAAGACGCTGCGCCTGCGCTCGTGTCGTCGGAGCGCTCGATCCAAACTCCCTCATCTTGGAGCTCTCCCTTGAGCCTCGGCCGGAGTCTTGCTGCAATCTTGACTTTGTGAGCATTTTGCTGGGCCATCGCGAGTACTTACGACCTCAATAGGCTTGAGGTGCCGGCGGCGACAATGGAGGGGTGGTGGTAGATGAAAAGAGTGTGTGAGGAACGACCAAGGAACGACGTCGACGACGACGGCGAGAGACAACGGAAGAAGCCAAACAAACCGAACCAAACTCCGCCACGCCGGTGTCAATTGTCACAGATCACGTGAAAGTGACACGACGCGACAATTCCTCCGGTCGCGTCGCTTGCCTGGCTCCGTCTTTCCTCCTTTTTGCCCGGGTGCAAGACAGGCTTGTGTCATGATATACATGCATACCGGCCTTTCTCTATCTTAATAAGTATGTATCGAAACTAGACCTGGATGGCTGGCACCCTTCTGTTATTCTCTGATCAACATTCAAGTTTGTCGATGAGTAGTGAATCTATTCGGCCGCGTTATACTTATCATTGTAGGACCAATGCAGGCACTAGCAAACAAGTGACGTTGAAGTGACGCAGTTCGGATATCATGGCACATCAACTGCTAAGTACGCTACTAGAACTTCCGACATGCTGAATTACGCATTACAGCCAGAGCCGTCCTCGTCCCTGCTAACCCTACTGGCTCAGGCTTTTAGGGAGTAGTTGTACCGACTGGCATGTCTGAGCATTGTACAATGCGAGGAACATGCAATGGTGGGCCAATGATCATTTAAGAACACCCTATATTATATGCCAAGGGTGATGTTCATTGAAATCTATCTGTCACTCATGCCTGTTTAGCGTAGTGGTTATCGCATCCCACTTGTATCGTCTGTGTCACTTCACGTTCTACGCGATTTGAACCAGTGATTATTTTTCTCTATATAATAAGTATACATCGAAACTAGACCTATCGGATGGCTAACACCCTTCTCGATATTCAGTCAACGCGATTCGTGAATGAGTGAACTTCCTAAGTTCGGTTGCGTCATATCGCTGGAGAGCCTCACTCTAAGCGGTTCTAGCTGGCCAGTACTAAGTACTCAGAGAGCGAGGTCAATGCAGCAGGTAACAGTGGCGCAGTCATCATCAAGTCATCCTCGCGCCCAGAGACTAAACTCTGCTTAAAGGAGACTACGATGCAGACGTTGATGGATTGACAGTACTGCACCGGGTAAGAGTCGTGCCTGTTTAGCGTAGTGGTTATCGCGTTCCACTTGTATGTCTTCGTTCATCTCTATGCTCGAGCGTACCATGGAAAGGTCCTTCGTTCAAATCGGGGAATGGGCATTTATTTTAGCCCTATGGAGGCCTCAATTGTACCATTTTATCAGCAGAGCTTGGAGAAGCGGAAGGTGTCGAGGCTGCTACTTACCCGGGCATCAAGAGATGTGGTCGAAGGTACGAGAATAGTGCACGACAAGGACCTAGTAAGGAATGCGTTCGTTGCAGTTGATGAAGAAGACGGAGAGAGGGCGGTGAAAAAGCGTCCAGAGTGGACGACGAGCCAAATGCAGGTGCGAGGGCGATAGGAGGATGCGAAGCGTGAGTGGCGGCGGCCGGCGTGAGAAGGCGCCAAAAGGGGGAGGCGAGAGGATGGCGACGCGTCGAGTTGCCCGCTACCTGCCACCTACCAGATTTGAACGCGCAGAATAGATCAAGGTCATTCGTTCAAATCGGGTAATAGGCATATTTTTGCCCTCCCAGCCATTACTGCTCGATCATTTGGACCAGGGGAAGCAAGGGAGAGACGGAGACGAAGGGAGGGAGCCCCTGCGGAAGGTATGGTATCGCCGCGTTGAGCACGAAAGATTCAGGACTCTGTTTTCCAGTTGTCCGTGGACAAAGTCACCAAGGTACGAGATCAATGCGCACACCCTTCCGTGTCCATATCCCTCTCAGTTGTAGGCATCGAAATCGTTCCCCGAGATACTAATCAAGTAATAGACTGGGCAATCGGTGCGTGACTTCATACTGCTATTTTTGTACGCGATCTGAGGTTCTTTGTTGTGACACAGGCGTTTCATCTCGGAGCGATACAGTTGAACTTGCATCACAGCCGACTCACTCAGAGGCCAGCCAGATGCAAGATACGATCATGCAATAACTGGAGAATAGTTACGAGTAATCAAGGCAGGAACGAGGTCTGTCGCCTACAGCCCATGATACTTACGGGCACGATGTCCCACTGACGTTTTCTGAGCCTGAATCGCTTCTATCTGTGCATTTGCCCCCAGCCCTGGCTATTCATATAGAGAATACGGTCTCCACAAAACTCTTCTCTTTGGATCTCTAGAGGCTCTGGGCATTTCTTCTTGCTCCGCGCCACTGATATGACCAAGCCCTAGGCCCATATTTGATGGTTTCAGAATGCGCATTAAGAATGAAACTTCGTTCGCTACGTAGGCTTCCTTGCGCCATTCACTATATGAGCGATGAGTGTGAAGAATACGAAGGGGCTGCGGACCCCCTGAACACCTTCTCGCCTTGAAGGCTCCCTCACAGCTGACGGTCTCCTTATCCTTCTCTACAGCACTCTTCTTCCAACGACAATGTTCATCTATAACGGCAAACTCAGCTGGTTTCACTGGGTAGAAAAGGAGGATTTCACCATCGTGGTTCCCGCTGGTTTTACACCGAAGGATCCCATTTGTGCATACTGGCAGTGCCTGCCGCGTCACAGTGATGTTTTACATCAACTCTATTTTATTCCTACCACCACCGTACTGACCCCGTAGTTCGGCATGATTGACAATATCATCAACACAGTCGCCGACGAATACAAATTCAGTTGCTCATTCGGCTACTACAGCTTCAACGCTGTGGTCTCTCGTGACTTCGGAACCCTCAGTATAACGATGCGAAACCCTAAAAACGATCGGTCTGGTCCTCACACTTTGATACTTCAATACAGCGACACGTCTCGAATCCCTTCCACCGTCGTCTACACCGGTAAACTCGACTGGCTCCACGAAGCTGTAAACAAAATGATCACCCTCGTCGTATCCTCAGGTGTCTCTGCTCTGACCAACGGCTCATTCGTGGGCATGTATCACCAATGGACCGTCGACTCCTCCGGTAACAAGAAAGGAAGCCATCCTATCAATTCCACGTTCGACGTGACGACCTCGTCGGACGCAGATAATGACGCCATTCCTGTGTACGAGGTTAGCCCAGGTCATTTGTTCTGCAAATATTGGACGATAATACCAAATATGGCACTCTCTAGAATGAACGCGGGGGCCATGTCGTGGTACACATAGTTAGCAAGGGCCTGGTAAAGTTCACCATGTTGTTTGGTGGGGAGAGAATCCATAACAGACTGGATGGACGTCATGTTGGCAAGAGTAAGCGAGTCCAGCCT